ATCCATTACTTGATCGAAGTCAGATTTGCAATTTTCAAAAATCTCATAAATTCTAAGTCACTAGTCGTGAAGTCTCAATTTCTAGATTGTACTCGAATTTTCAAATTTTTCAAAATTCAAGTTCAAATTTCACTTGCGGTGCATTGCGGTTTCAAACAAAGAGAAAAAGAAGAATCGGAAAAAGAAGAGTGTGTTTGACTCACCCGGTTCCTGCAACAAAATCGCATGATTTGGCCGAATCGCATACACGAATCCTCAATTGCTTCAACCTTATCAATAATTTCCCACTCAAGTCAAAATTGAGCCCTACGAGCTAAGCTACAAACTTCCTCTTAGCGTTGCTCCCTCGCTCACGACGTCGATGACGATGCGACAATGACGCAATAAATGACACTTTTGGCATTGTGCTTCCTTAGAAACAAGACAAAAACACAACACGTTTTCTCCATGAATGCTGTCTTTTGCAATGTGTAAGGATCATCAAGTAATTGGCGTGTAATCAATTTAGCTTTACCTGTTGTCTTACCTATAATCCAACCTTTATCTTTTATCTCTATCTTTTAAACCTTTTAACGAATAATCCTAAAAGTTGAACTTGTCTTGACGATATAAACGTACAACACGAAATAATATATTGTAACATTAAGAATTGTTGATAGTTGTTTCACATCAAGCACAACATTTATGCTTGTGTATAAAATTAAAAGTTTATACTCTTGCGTGCTCGAGTTCTTTTAAGCCCTAAACAATCACATACTTTTTAAGAACAGGTTAACACCACACACACATCACATAGTGTTTTTGAGACGTTTGTATAATAGTTGCATATAGATCAGGCCGACTAAATTATAACGTTATATTATTAGATGCTAGAATTGTCAAAATTATCTGCTCAAAATCACTTATATCATATAAAATGTTGTCGATACAATTCAATGAAACTTCACGAGTAAGAAGTGATGGTAGGAATTTGTGTTCTCAAAATAACATGTGTTTGCATGAGTTTGAATTCGTTGATGAATTATGGATTTGAGTTGCGCATGATATAAATAGAATAGTTTAACAAAGTAATTTGAAGTGGAGAGCAAATTGCACACAAAAGAAAGTGAACAAATAATTAAATACCGTTCACTTACATTTCAAATAATTTTTTCTATATTTTCATTTCATTTATGTAACATGTTTTTTTTATCAATGTGACTAATATCTCGATTCTAATAAAAGTTATCAAGTGCATTTCATATTTTTCTTTCACTTTTGTACTTTCATAACATTTTTATAACATGTTTATTTTGATCATTGTGAGTGTTTTCTTTGCTAGATTATAAGATTCCAGGTACATTATAAATTTTTTTCTCAATTGTTTTCATTCATTGAGCATTTCATAATATAACTTTGGTTAAAAGATAATTCTCTATAATCAAATGAAACAAAGATGAATGTTGCATACACCTTACAATACTATACTTGGTAGTTGTTATACATGCAAAACAATTCAAACATTTATTGCCAAACCATCAAACCTAAAATAATGAAATTATAGTGTTGATGCAAAAAATGCTAGAACTAAGTAACAAATTTTTCCATAATTACCTTGATCCTGGCAAACCTGGTATTTGCCAGGAGGCCAGATGTAGATTCAAACATAAAGTCAATTGCAAAAACATAGTGAAAGTAGATGAGTGTAGAAGCTTTCTTGGCTAAGTCATATATCAAACAATGTGGCCAATCACATAAAGTAAACATTCTTTTATTTTGTAGACTAAAATAACAAGCTGATATATGTTTAAAATTTTTGTATACAAATTTTGAAGTAAACAAGATTGAAATAATGTTACTCGCTATGATTGTGAAACATAACAACAAGATGAATAAAGAAAAACTTTTGGAAAAATTACATCGTAACCAAAATTTTATATTTTAATCTATACTATAAACAAATGGTTAAAAAAAATTATTAAATATAATCAAATTTATTTCAATTCCGAAAAGGGAATAATTTTGTTAATTATGTACATATATGAATTAAAGAAATAAAATTTAGTATATTTTAAAATTGTGCTCTATATAATTCTAAATCATATTAAAAGAAAAAAAATTCAAAAAACCCAATAGATATAGTTTTAAAAGGTTTCAATATAATTAAAATCAACACTAAAAATTGCAATCAATGTAAGATTCTTTTTATAAGCATTATTTGTTGACTAAATTTAAAATATTAAATAATTACTTATCATATTAAATTTGCCGGTTTAATAAGGTTTTTTTTGTGCAAAACTTGTTGAAATCAAGAATTTTTGAACATTATTTAAAGTTGAAAGTAACATCTTATGTTTGAAATTATAAAATTTGGAAATTTATTAAATATTAATATTAGAACTTATGAATTTTAATTCATTTACGTTTTTACATGACTTAAATTTAGAAAAATTAAGATGCTCATTAAGGATAAATAATACATACAAGAATATGATATAATGTTATATAAAGATAAATGTTTGAGATATGTAATGTTATATGAGATATATGTTTAATTTTGTAAAGAAAAAGCTCTTCTTACCTTCATTTAATTTTTAAAAACTGAAATTTGGAGTGGAAGAAATTGTTCATTGAATTTGATGGTGTTAATGTATCAAGTTAATTCTTACCCAAAAACCGTTATTGACATTATTAAAGAATAAATGGACTTATATGCTACTCCAAAATAGGCTTCGAAAGTATGTGAATATGATTAAATAATAAGCATATATCATATTTTCACACTTTATATCCTCTAACATGAAGATAAAATGATGAAGAAGCATGAAAATGCAAAAATAACTTCTGTTAATTTTCTGTCTCATTATATTTATTTACAAATGATTTATTGATATTTTAAGTTAATATAATATATACTTGAAGACCAATTCATGAACGTATTAATCACTTATGTTATTTGAAATTAATGTGATTTGTTTTGAAAAAAATGAAAAAATATATTAAATGAACACATGATATAATTAACTACTTTTTAAAAAGTGTGCACACAACCTTATTGTCTTGAAGATTGTATAGACATATGTGAAAAAAAAAGTTTATTTTAATCAGAAGAAAACTGTTATATCTTTTTTTTTTGTTTACTTTCCATCCAATTTTTATCTTTCATGCTATCCACAATTTTATATATCTTAAATTAAGCCATCAAGAAACACAAACAGTATACAGTTATTTTTTAAATTATATATTAAGAGCAAATAAATTTATGCAAAATATCTCATTGAAATATTGTTAAACACATAAATGATTGTTTGGTCATAGCATATGGATTTAAAACACATACGTGTAGAGTTTAATATGAGTTCAAAAATTGATTGAAACAATTTTTACATATTTAAAACAAATACCTACAGAAATATACATGTGAAATATATATCAAGTGAATTCAAACTTGTTCACATGTAATTAATTCTCGATGAAACGTCTAAATTACCAACAAATTATTTATTACTAAGTCTACATGTAAATTCACCGAGAATGATAATAAAGTCACGAAGTGTTAAAAAAACAAAAGAGATATTTGAGCGTATGAGCAATCCATTGCCAGAAATAATATTTCAATCAGACATTATCATATTTTATTAAAAAAATATCTGCCTTTCATAGTCTTCTCTGAGATAAGAATCGCAAATTTGATTCCTTTATAAATATTATAAAATAGAGAGCTTTACAAAACAAGCTCGTCTCATTTACCCTATACTTAGAAAGGGGACATATTTGAAAGAAACCATGTAGACACTGGACTATATTTCCTAGTTTTCAAAGTTAGCAAGAATGATATAGCATGGATTTTATAAAACTTAAAAACTCCAGGTCTACTCGATGAGGCCAATTTGTTTGCAATTCAATGACTTCTACGGGTGCGGTCAGAGCACAAGCGGAGATAGTGTCCATTGGCATGATTCCGACAGAAGTAAGCGTATTTCCCAAAACCCGTAGCAGGATTAGGTTTGTTTCTCTCATGTATGAGTCGTCGAATACTTTGGTGCAATTCGCATCTGAGACGTGAGAGGACGCTTAGAATAAGAGTTTATGTGTCCCCCTGGTGTGCCGAACGTGGGAAATGGTAAATAAAAGCGCGTCTTGTAGACGACCAGTCTGTTAGAAAAATTATGTAAAATCATCATGATTTGAGTAATTCCACCGTATCCCTACAAACGCAGATCAGATGGGGTCCGTATACAGAGGCGGGGGTGACTTTCGGTGCGGCATTTGTTAGGTGGCGATTATTCTAGGTCGTTCCGGAATATATTACATGATCTTCCGATGCGAGGCGATCGTAGAAAATCGGAGCCCTTGGAGGGAAAGCTGTTATACGAACGGCAAGATGATACGCGAGTTCGCGATGTGGTTACGGTTCGAAGGCTCGGACGCACAATGTTTGGGCAGGACGGAGGTCGGGCAACGACGTGGAGGAAGATGTGCGAACGAGGGAACACGAAGACGAAGACGAAGAGAGAAATGGCGATAATGATCGGCGCGACCTGCGCTGGGAACCGGAGCTCGGCTCGCATTTGAACCTTCGGACAGAAGGGTGGGAAGGGAAACCCTACATCGAGAGAAGGAGCCCACGTCTTGCGCCCGCCGAGACGCGTCGACGGTTCGAGGGGGAATCCGGCGGGTAACGGATCCGACCGGTCGGATGGAGGGCGGACCCGCGATGCATCTCGTGTGGCCCGGGATGTGCGCCAGTTGCTCGCAGGTGGGAGGGGCAATCGGCGCGGGCCGCAGCGCGCTCTCTAGGGCTGCGGCCGGTCATCCGGTCAGATTCATTCGACGGTGCGCCGGGGAGAGCGAGGGACTGCGGAGCCGGAGAGACCGAGTGTGACAGTGACGGGTGACGGGTGACCGGCGACCGGGGACCGCCTGAAAAGCGGCGGAAGCCCTCCCGAGGCGTCGACGTAGTGGGAGACGGAAGGGAAGCAGGCGGGCGAGCGAGCGAGCGAACGAGCGAAGGTGCCATCGTCCTTCTGCCCTCGCGTCTCTGCCTCCGGCCCTCTCTCGCCCTCGCCCTCCCTCGCCCTGCCCCTCGCGGAGTGCCTGGTCGCTGGTGCTGCTGGTGGTGGCTGGCTGGCTGGCTGTGGGTACTGCTGCTGCTGGTGTGGCTTTCAATCCCGCATTCACTAGGCCAGCCCCCTTTTGATGTGTGTTTCTCCCTTCCTGCCTCCTTTCACCACTTTCTTCTTCTCTCCTTCTCTGACCTCTGTGTGGAGACAGCCATCGCCGCTGGGGCGTTGTGCCATCCTTCTTCTGCGCTCGTTGCAGTCTCTGCTCGTATAAGGTTGCGTGGTGGCACAGCGAGATCTGTAAGGAGGACGCGATAACGTTTCTTGTGATGTGCTGATCTTGTACACAGAGGGCGAGATCTGGCGTTGCAATAGTCGATCAGTACAGATTGAGCGCCTATCACAAGGACGGACGTGAGGGGTAGCGGTGCGGAAGAGGGATTTCTGGTAGGGCAGAGTGAGCCTTGTTGCGGGAGCGACGACGCCAGCACGGGACGAGTGGGTAGAATAATTTCCAGCCCCGGCTTGGTTGGGTTGGATAGTCAGGTGTAGACTTAGAGAAGGGCGAAGCGTCTTTGTCTTCTCCAAGGTTCAATCAGTATCCCATCTCTTTGTCTTCCCGAGAGAGGGCCCTTGGGATACATCCAGCGGCCTGACGCAAAGCCAGGTGAGTGTCACCTCTGTCGCATCTCTCCTCTGGTCACTTTCGCTTGTTCTCATTTTTGCCCCGCCGGAGGACGACAATCGCCGTGCATCTAGTTCCTGTGCCCCGCAGCTACGTCAACAATGGCGCGAAAGGATTGCTCGTCGAACGGGAGATAACTTTGCTTTCACCACGTGAACGGGAAACCCGTCCACCTGTCTGTCGATGCAGAACTACTGCTCTAGGTCTAGAACCACGAGTGGAGCTCTCGAGGTTTGCCAGCAAGGCACGCCGGCCAAACTTTGCTCCTGATGTCTGCATTATTCGTCGCAATGCTCGTCTTCTAATGGACTGAGTCAGTTGTGGAAGTGTTAACAACATACTACTCTTCCTCGCCATTGGCGTGCAAACAAGTAACCCATTGCTCAGAGTTTTAGGAAACTACAGAGACCTTGACTTTCGAACGCAAGGTGCTACGAGGGTGATGTTCTCCCTTCACAGCGTTTCAGATGCGTTTTTACCAGGGTTTATATCTCGATTGCCAGATTGGTACTGCTGAATGCGCTCTTCATCAAGACGCCGGGTGATTCTTTGGTTATCTGACATATGATCGTTATGCTAGTGCAGGACCAATGGCAGGTCAGCCAAGTGCTTCTGCTCCCGTTCCGGCTGCTGCGCACGTGGTATGTTATCCTCGAGATCGACGGCTTTTCTTGTCGTCTCAGTCTCGGAGTTCACTTCGACGGCGAAGACTGTCTGATTCGGATACTGGACTTCTAAGCCGTGTAGGGCTTTGAAATCTTTTGTATTCTAACGGAAACTGTGCAGGAGCTGAGGCATATCTTTCGGCTGTCTTGCAGGTGGGAAATGCCTTCGTGAACCAGTACTACCATATACTGCACAACACTCCCAACGTCGTACACCGCTTCTACACTGACGATAGCAGGCTTACCCGGGCCGAAGCAGGAGCAGATGGCGCCGTTGAGACATTCTGTTCGCAACGTGTGAGGATCTACTCTTGTCGACATTTTCGTATCGCAGAGTACACTGCCTGCATTGTACACAGAGTGATAGCTGATGGTAATTTGATTTTCCGGGTACCTGATTTGACGATGCGAAATTTCTGACTTTTGCAGGAGATCGACGAGAAGGTCATGTCTCTGGATTACGGTGATGTCAAGGCGGAAATTTTCACTGTAGACTCGCAGGATTCGTTCTCTGGTGGAGTGCTTGTTATGGTCACGGGATCCCTATCAAGCAAGACGATTGGTAAGAGGAATTTTGTACAGAGCTTCTTCTTGGCTCCCCAAGCGAAGGGCTACTACGTTTTAAATGATATCTTCAGGTATCTTGACGAGGAGCCCATCACGAGCAAGTCACTACCTGTTCTTGCGAATGGCATCCCGGAGCCCACTCCCATCCACAATGCAGTTGAACCAGGTATTACACGCAGCCAATCGCAGTGAAGTTTGTGCTGCGCATAAACATTAGTCATTTAATTTCCACTTCTTTCTAAATGTGTGAGACTGACACAGCCCTTTGGTCTTGATATGTTCAGAGCCGATTCTGACTCCCGATCACGAAGCAAGGGATGAACCCTCACCTCCCCCATCAGAGGTTGAAATCGATGAGATCTTCGATATGCCAGAGCAGCATGTCGAAGTCTCCGAAGCGGAGGAGGATGGTGGACTCGAAGATTTGACACACGTGGAGACCACTCCTGTGATTGACGAGCCCCCTTCACCTATGGCAGAACCTGCAGCTGCTGCCCCACCTATGGAAGAGACCTCCGGAGAAGTGCCAAAAAAATCTTATGCATCCATTGTACGTACATGGCGTTGATGCGTTGTTTCTTCCTTGTGATAGTTTGTAAATTGGATCGCATGATGGTTTGATTTTGGTTCGCGATGTACCATAGCAATGACCTTGGTAGTTGAAGATATTCAATCAGCCAAGAGGAGACCTGATTTAATTTTATGTACGTTCCGTGAGGAATGAATGAACCAAGTAGCATGTCACTTACACTAGTTGTGCGTTACAGCTTCGGCATCAGACCGCCGGGACTTCTCTGTCATCTCCAACTTACAACGCAGCTCCCAAAGCTGCTACTCCTGCGCCTGAACGACCTGCCGTGTCTCCTGGATATCAACCGGGGCCCGCAGCAGCTCTCAGTGGCCAGGATAGTATGGAGGAAGGTTTACCCATCGAGAACGAAGGTGAGCTCGTGTGTATTTTCGGGTAGCTGGATCTCGGTATATTGGGATTAAGTACTGATTTGATTGTCTTTCTTCTGCGTTGCTTGCAGTCGACGGAAGGTCGGTCTACGTGAAGAATCTGCCTATCGTCGTGACGCCTTCTCAACTTGAAGAAGAGTTCTCCAAGTTTGGACTCATCAAACCTGGAGGTGTGAATGTTAGAAGCCAAAAGGTAAAGCCAGAGCTATGATTCCCGAAGCCTTTGTTTCATACGCCAAAGTCTTTCTTAATTTTTCGGCTCTTTCGTTGTAACTCAGCTTGCCTTTCGTTAAAATTTCAGCAAGGAGTGTGTTACGCTTTCGTAGAGTTCGAAGATGCCGCATCAGCCGCTAGTGCCATTGAGGTAAGAGATTTTTTCGCACTTTCCAGTTCCAGAATTGAGAAGACAATGTGGAAGATTTGTTGCTTTTTTTACAAGAACCCTGTGAACATGATCGTTTGGCGACCTTTTGCTGACTTGCATCATCAAGCACTTACTCAATGCTTGCGTTGCTGATGTATTTCCAGAGCTCGCCCATCACCCTAGGTAATCGCCAGGTCTACATCGAGGAGAAGAGGCACATGGGACCAAGAGGTGTGTATTGTTTTCAAAAATCTTGGAAGATCTAATATATCCTGTTTTTCACGATACCGATCGTTAACACACTGTCCCTGGTTTTTTGCAGCCGGTGGTAGGGGTCGCGCGCCCATGGGCGGTCGTGGTGGTGACAGACCCTTCCGCAGCGACGGTTTGAGAGGAGGACGCGGTGACAGGGGATTCCAAGGTGGACGTGGTGGAGGTATGGGTGGCGGTCGAGGACTTGGTCAAGATCGGGACATGTCCAACAGGGGTCGTGGAACTGGCCCTGCCCGAGGTGGCAGCGGCAATTATGGTGGTGCTAACAATAATGGTGGAAACGGCGGAGCCGGAGCTAACGCTGGTGGTGCTGAGAATCACCGTCCGAGTGGAAACGCCAACAGGCCACCCAGGCGCGGGGGCAACAACAACCAGATGTCGAGAAATGGAGCTGTGTCTCGCGGAAGCACGCCTGTTGCTGCAGCCTGAAGTGTTACTACAGAAGGGGTTGTAACTAAGCGAGGTGGACGGGAGGGCACTGGACGTATGTATGGAGCATACTAGAGAGAATTTTTCTCTTTTGAAGTGCTATGCGCATGCCGTTGGATGTCTACAACGGGGAAGGAACTTAACTGCTTCAAGAGCAGGATGGATCATGGTGCCTGGTTCGCAATTTTCTGTAGCTCGCGTCCTGTATCTCAGCATCATATCGTGTGGGGCATGGGTATGTCAGGGGCTGGTGACTGTTAAAAAATGAAGTGGCTTTAGGGAACACACCAGGTAGTTCCGTTCCTGAGCACTAGAATTAGATTTGTAAGATTGGTGACATTGCTGAGGCTCGTAGATTGATTACTTGGAAGGGGGAACATTGAGTTTCTCTTCTCCATAGCAGTTTTGTCTGGCTGGAACATGTAGTGTTTCTTGAGAACTGTCTTAGAAGAAGTTTTAGAATATCAGCTCCTAGTTTTTTGAGTGTAGCCGCCATTCTAATTCGCTAATTAGAGTTGGTCGACGACCCATCTGGTTTCAGCTGGCCTCTTCCAGTCAGCTCCACCCTGGCCTGGATGTGCTAAGGGAAGATGAATAATTAGTAGAGTGTGGGAGTATGCCATTGTGCTATTTATATGTCGACCAATTGGACCAAATTTAGCTTGAGATAATCGCCTTCCACAACGAATAGGTGCACCTGTTGTCGATTCATTCATTCTTCATGTAATTTGAACTTTCTAAATGTGTCCTTTTGATATGTGATGGAAACTGAGACCACATCTAGATTTGTATCGCGGAGTATGTCGTTAAAATGCTGATAAAATGCTGCACTCCGACGTGTTTCGCATTAGTACGGCACCATGTGTTGGAATCGAATGATTGAAAGCGGATGAAAGCCCGGTACAAAGATGTCTGATTTGCTAAGCCTGTACCCATCATACTGAGCAGCGAGTTCTGAAGAATATGGAGCACATTTTCTAAGCCACATTTCTTAAGAGCACATTTTTTGCTCCTTGCATCAAAATCCAAATAGCGGCTGATTCAGTACAGCACTGCAGGGCGTCTGAAGTTGCGTGCTCAATGAGGAAAAATCGCAGACCAACGATATGTACTTATTATCCATTATCGTGCACGGATCTTGTAACGAACCAAGTGTGGGCTCACCTAAACTTTCAACCATAAGCAAATGGCTGAATGAAAAGAGGCGATCTGTGCTAATGGCTCGTACTATTTCGTAATCAATGGTGTAATCGTTGAATCCGAATGATCGTCAGAACTTCGCGATCAATGTGTGGCCTGCGACGTGAAGGTAGTCGCAATAGGATAACATGCACGGCAATATAACCCTAATGGGGTGTTAATGACATCCTGTTAAACCCTAAAGGGTTTTGTCAATGCCGACTTGTGCAGTTAGAGGACATGTTGTAGTCTGGCCTATAGGACGTGTTTAACCAACGATGAGAACTTAAACTCGGTATGTCTGAGACAAGAACGTTGTTCATACACACCGTAGAGCCCAGAAGTAACGCTGAGACACACCGCAGAGTTCATAAGAACGGTTGTGAGTTCCATGAGATCCCTGGATGCAAAAGTGTGTTTTTCGTGCTGCTCTTTTTCCGTTGTGTAAGTGTCAGGTGACGTTATAAGATGCCAGTGTACACTAGGCCTTAAGCCATAGTACGGAAATGGGTGATGTAAAGATCTACTAGCTGCAAATGAGTACACCAGATACGGACAGCGAGCAAGAAAACTAAAAGGACAGGGCTGGAACCAGTACACTCACACATTCTTCTTGCTCTCACCCACACCTATGTGCTCATTCGAACGGGTCAGTTCAGCGATGTGTTCATTGTGATTCATCTACATTGAAAATGAACCATAATCACTTATACATTTGTTCTCTCACAGAATTTGGTGGCAAAGACATGTTTTTTTGAGATTAGAACTTGAAATTATATTAGATCCACATACTATGTTTGTAGGTCCTCCATGCACACCATATGAACAATCAACTGAAAGAAATAATGCCATCAAACTAAACGTGAACGTTTTCTAAATCCATTGAAAAGTGTTGCGGTTTTACATTAGTAGTTGAGCTAGATATAGACATTTCAATCTATTGAATTCCCTTAGCTCTGTGTACTTATTTATATTATATACACAATTTTTTTTGGTGGATATATATAGATACAATTCTTGAAAGCCGTAAATGTTAGTCAAACTCGTTTGAACAATGATTTGAGATACAACTGTACAGTGCATATGTGATTTTCCGTAAACGAACAAAATTTCCATCAATGAAGCTATACATATTATGATTCTTTTCTTTGATAAATAAATTTGAACATAATAACAACATTTTTTCATTTTTTTGCAAAGTGATATGCATTCAAATTGCTATTGTATACATGGGATCAGCTATTTAAATAGAATCGTAATTGATTCAGACAACAAAAACATAACTTGTTGGAACTTGAACCACATACAATGATAAATATGTATACAAGCACAAACTCATATTTTAAAAAATGTTTCAAGTGTCAAATAACGTTTAGAGATGATGATTTGTTATTCTTATTTCTATGATAGCATGCTTAAGTATATTATAAGTTTATTAATATTAATTTTTTTAATTTTGTGTGTACAGATAATTTTTTAGAACATTCATCAAACTTTTTGGCAAGTTGTAGTTTGACGCACCTTGCAATTGATATATTTGCATCATCTATGTGGAACTTCAAAGAAAAAAGTAATAAAAATTAAAAGAATGAATAAATTCGTGTGAGTAAATTAAAATTTTTTTGCGATAGATACTAAAATTTGAAATATGATTTACAGTACTTGTCTTGAATATTTTTTTCCAAAATATAATCTTCCATTTCATCAATTGACTTTGTCTCAACAAGTGTAAATTATGGCCATATAGGCAACATGGAATCTATAAACAATAGCATTACAACGAAAAAAATTGAGTTATTGCAACTAAAGTATATAGATTTTTTAAAAACAATATTTTCATGAATCTATTTTGGATAGATGGTCTTTGTTTAGATAGATGAAAAAACTAAAGTCCATACGATAAATGTAACATACAGATACACTTCATGTGACTAAGGAGGTAAATTAAATGATTGCCGAGATTTCGCAGTTGAAATGTCATCATCAGGTTCTGAGAGTGAATAATTAAAAAAAACTTAGTTTGATAAATATAGCTACACGATATATGGTTCCTCGCAGTAATGTTTGCGGTTGAGTGAAACAAACTTCCTAAAGATTTCAAGGAACTTTATGACAAATTGTCCTAGTCATACATTGACAGTCATTATTACAGGAAAGGATGTGAATTAAAACCAGCCATTGTTTTGCCTTGCAATCTTAAGCCCATGTTGTAAGTAGTTCTAGAAAGGTCGTGTGAAACCTGAGCCAAGTGAAGCTATGGTTGTAAGTAACTCAAAATACCCTCGAGCCGGGTACAAAATTGCCTTACCTTTTTATTTTATTTTTAAGCAAGGATACAGAATCGCCTATATAATAAATGCTCTCAATAGCTCATAATGAAGGTCATGGCAAAGGGTATAACCTAAAGCAATAGTGAGGATTTATAACTGAACCATAACCATCGACAGGACTTCCGCAAAATTTTGATGGGATTCTCATTCCCAGAGTTCTCAATGAAAAGCTTTCTAATGGACGCACTCCTAAGCTCCAGTACAAATTAGTCTATTTTTTTCATGATTCTTGCGTCCATAGCATTATTGGTTCTAAGAGATATGTAGTTTGACATTTTTAAAAAACCTTCTTCTATCTCACGATGACTTATCGGCAAATGTCAAATTGAGTGAAACCATTTCCTACAAATCCACGAAAGACAAAAGTATCGAATCATAGGAAATGAATCATGTGAACTCTGAAGTACGATATCAAGTTATAGGTTTCTCGCTATAACTAATAAATAACTCATACATCAGTTCGCGTCCATGCCTTCAATCACTAGCAGAAATTCGTTTCACCTAATTAAGTTTATCAAACAAAATAGTGATAACTTAGCAACGATACGTTGAGGTGAGTCAATTTCCCTTGACTTGCCTGGGCTTAGAGTCAAACAAAATGGATCGCTGAAAGGAGATGGTTGTGTCTGGGTCACCGTCAATGATGACCGGGAAAAGGCATACATATCCAGTTGTGGATGACACCCAAAAAGCTTCTTGCACTAAATTCTCGTCATCAGTTTGAGAGCTCGCTCGCATTGGTTTTGAACCAAATCGACGAGAAAGAATTTGAGGAAAGGCGAATAGTGTTTGAAAGGAAAGCCCAGAAGCTTAACGTTGAATACGTAGGACATGTAGTCGAGGCTGACGAAGGAAGGAAAGAGGGATGAGGTAACGGACGCATTGGCCGAATTTCCTTGCGGCTGTTGATAAATTCTTCTTTGCAGGGTACAAGGATTCCGACGTTTGGAACAAATTCTCGTGTACGCACCGCGGCCACCTTGAACCACGGGCCGCCATTTTTCTTCTCATCCTCGAACTGCATCCATCAGCGCCAGCCATCGCTGTCGTTTCTTGTGCTGCTTTCGTGTCGGAGAGATCCGTGCGACATGACGACGTCCTGCGGACCGATTGACGGGATCCCGCCCCTTCTTGTGGCCCGAATGCGCAATCACAGCGGCCCCCTCTCCCTCTGTAGGAAAGCCCACTGCGAGGAGATGCAGTTTGTAAATTAAAGACGGAGGCGGAGGAAGGAAGTGAGGGAGGGGAGGGAAAGGGAAGGGACGGATCGTCCGCAAGGCATTGTTTTGGGAATACGACATACTTGCTTCCGCGGTGCTTTTTCAGCGCTAGCTGCATCGCCTGCGGGGCGGGCGTGGGACCGGATGTCAATGAGATGCATGCGATGCGGTCGTTGAGCGAGTGAAAGCGTCCGGGGAAGGGAAGAGATTCTTGCACGAGAGTGAAGAGTGAATGAGCCAGAGAGAGAGAGAGAGGAGAGAAATTCCTGGCCTTGTGGTTAGGGTATGTGAGAGCCTGTCAGCTGAATCTGCGTCCGCGTGGAGAAGGGCTCCTGGGGCCGCACAGCTCCGGGTGTCTGTTTGTTGGAGGGCGGGGAGGTGGTTTTGCGTCAGCTGTAACAGCGTGGGCATTAGTCTGGGGGCTGGCTTGTGTGGTGACCTACAATTACTGCGGGTTACTTTTCCGCCTACGTCATTCGTCGATTAGACCGGAGTCGGGTCTGGTGGTTCTTTGAATTGGATTGTTGTGGGTACTTCGGCAATGGGGTAGCAAGCTTGACACCGATTGTGCTTGTCCGGCCGGTTGTGTAATTCTTGCCCTTTGAAGGTCCGTGGAAAATCGGAGGGACGGGTTTTTCCGAGAGTAGTAATTGACCTATTTATAACTCGTGCCTTGGCGATAATTGGACTCCTTCGCGCCTCGGACAATGCGTGGTGGCGTGCTTGGCACACGCGACGGGCGACACTGGAGCTGCTAGGGGATTGAGCAATTCAATTTTTATGCTGGGTTCAAAATACGGAATTGGATCATGGGGCCATGAATGGTTGCCCGCTTCAGACCTTCATGCGGCTTGTGATCAAGTATTGTGAGAGGCGTCTTGTGTACCGATCAGGTGCGGAATTTGAGCTGCACCAATGGTACCCGTGAGGTTTAGCAAAGTTCCAAGTCGAAACTTCACCTGGTTGGATATATATTTTTGATTCAGTTCGATTGGCGATCTCAATACCTCATCATGGACGCGCAACTGGTGAATTGGGGTGTGCTTGACGCGCTTGTTTTGGATTACGCCGAGGAGGAGCAGTTAGTTGAATGTGAGGGCTTTGAAGCCTCGCCTCAAGTGGCTCCTCGTCGCTTAGTTGAGTTGGTCAGGGCTTTGATAGAGACTGGCCGTATTGCCGAGGCTCTGGAGGTAATTAACGAGTCAGCGCAGGCTCTATTGGAAGACCCTCATCTTCTCTTTCGTCTCCAAAAGCAGGTCTGCTGACATACTTGCATTCCTGAAACTTGGGGTTCCCAAGCGCTTCACCATTCAATCTGTTTGTAGTAGTTTTCCCGCTGAAATCCTCCTCAATGATTTTTTTCCCAGCGTTTTGGTACTTCTTTTAAAGACGGGGGTGACTCCTGATGTTCACTTTCTGCAGAGGTTTTTAGAGCTGCTTCGAGGCGGTGAGCCAAACCAGCAACAGCAAGCCATCATGTGTTCACGCACGACCTTAGGGCCATGTGCTCTAAACGCGTATCCAGTACGTTTAAGCAATTCCGCTAGAGATTGTCAAATTCCATTGTCCTTCATATCTCTTGGTGTTTCTTTGTCGAATTGGCGCTTTAAAACTGAATAAATCCTGTTGACGAGTGTTTGTGATCATTTCTTAGCCGCTGCGAATTTGAGCAAAGTATTCTGGTTGTAGTCGCGACATCGGTAATTGTAGGATCCGGCCATCAATTTTTGCAGATTAGGAATGTTTTGGTAGCTTTGAGATTGAACCAGTCACATACAGAAGTTTGAAACCTCTTGATTACAGCGTCGATTTTCGAAGTTATGAATAGTTAGCTCTGGATTCTCTTGTTTCAGGAGGCCTATGAGGAGTTTAAGAGAGTGCTTTTAGCTCTCATGTATGACAAAGATGATCCTTCTTCACCTGTCGCTGACGAGGTATGAATTCAGTCTATTGCAAGCCTTATGCGCGAATCAGATGCATATATATGGTATTAAGATGGATGTTCCCTTTTTGAAGTTTCCTTTCAGTCTTGGCTGCATGTGGTCTGCGTAGGTCTTACCAGATGGTCCTGGCTAAAGTTGCGTCATTGTGCATTGTTTAGTAGTGGTCAGAAGTAAGGAGAGCGGAGCTGGCTGCAATTGTTGCGTCCACGCTGAAGGCTCAGCAACATGCTTACGACCCGCTCTTTTCATTGACTCTACGGTACTTGATAAGGTTAGTATAATTGGGAAAGATTGAACACCAGTGAGTGTTCTGCAGATGTTTGCAAATTTCTTTGTTCTAAGTACCTATTCGCTCTGAAGTTGAGATTTGACATCGCAGTTCTAGGTCTCGTCGTGTCGTGAAAATTTGAAAATTTCTGACATCATCAGTTTTTGCGAGGAATAGCGTACAAAACGCCTACTGTCAACAGCAAGCGATTGTTTCCCCGATTGCTGAGATTGCTTCTTCTCTCCTTTCTAAGGATAGAGACCCTCCAGCAGCACCTCGAGAAAGTCTTCTAGAAGCTCCTAATTTTAGCGAGGTAGGATCGTAATCACTAATGTTTGCCACATCTTTCTCATGAGCACTTAAATATCTCAGAATACATCGCATCTGGTAGTAGCACGATCATATCTGCTTTCATTTGGGAAATAGTTCACCTGTATATTTTTCTACTTTTCTTGTCATGTTACTTCGTTTGTGATAGTTGTCTTCGACAGATAGGTTTGGACAACACTTCGTAAGAATGTCATGCCCTGCGTTAGTAATTTGTGCACATGCGTTAGGTTTGTGTCAACTGACTCAGAGAGACCATTGCTCTTACCCATGCCAGTTATTTTGCAGGCCGATGTACAGGCACTTGCACAGGCTGTTGATCTGCCGAGGCAAGGAGCTGTGAACAGCCTCAGATATACCGGTGGTGACTTGACATCTGCCTTCAAGGTGCATTTTGTTCGTGTGGCTTTTTATTTCACGTCTTTTTGATTTTTGGGATTCCAACTACTGCTAGCGTTGATTTTGTATCAGCAGTTTTCACTTCGCGGAGGTTGTCGGCGCGAGAAGAGCACGGACTCACTCTGTTTATTGTTATTTTGTCTTTCGCAGAACGAATTGAGCAGGATGAGGCTGACTACTTCTCTTGTGGATGAACTTGTTCGCGAATATTGTTTGTATAGAGGTTTGATCGAAAGAGGAACTAATGCACCTAGTGACAGTAGATCATCAAGTGATGCAGTCGCAGCTGAGCTTACGAGTGTTCTGGCTCTTGATGTTGTCAACCGGATGAAGTCATGCACGGAAATGAAGGTCTCTCCAAGCGAACAATCAGAAGACACTGTGATTTCCGAAGCAAAAGAAGACCCGGTTGGAAATTTGGTGGCTTCTTCGGATAACGGGGAACGTCACGTTGAGATGGAGGAGGCCACTTTTATGGTAGAACCTTCTGTAAAAAACAAAATACAATTGAATGCTACCGAGAGTACTCTTGAGAATCCTCAGAGTAGTGAAGTTGCCGAGGATGTCGTGATGCAAGACTGCGATGATGATCCTTTGATTTATCGCTCTCTGATGATTTATCGTCCTCAAAACGGAGAGATGCTCAGGGAGGATGGGCGGTTTGGCAGCAGTGGGGGATGTAGTACAAGTGGTATATCGCAGTCTGGTAGTAATGGTGCGCACAGTGCAGGACTTAGAATGGGAATTGGGAAGGAGATCTCGGGTTTGCCTTCGACAGGTCGGCGGCGATGGAGGGGGAGGAAACAATTGATTCTTTCAGGTTTCACGAATGGGTCCTGGGTCACGGCAAAATATCAGCAACTTTCAAGTCTCGAGCTGTCGCAATTAACGAATCTGGCCGAATTACAGGACATGAAAACTGACACTTCAAACAAGCCGGTAACTCAGCTGCCTATACCACGAATCCCTACGATCTATATATGAATAGCGAATGCAATATGCTTCCCGTTTATATATCCTGATCAATTGTACTGCCATATTATGTCCCTTGATGAAACTCTTTTTGCCCAATCTAACAAGATTCGTTTCGGAAAATTCTTGCACTTTTGTACCCGCTCAATGGAAATTTCGTATATCGTCCACTCCTCTTTTTGGGGAGTTTCTTACAAAGCACACTTGTGTCCCTGCGCCCGCTTGTGTTTCTTGCCGCACGTGCTAGTGTGCTTGTTATGCGTTTGTCTGTCTTTTTATACGGCATTCGTTCGCGTGAATAACGCCCTACCTAGTTCCGTTATAACGCGACTGAAGCCTGGACGAGAAATCGTACACGCTGGAAGGAAAATAGCACAAAGGCTAATGGGGAATGTAGTGTCTTCATGCACACCGCTTACGGGATACTAAAGTTACGGGTTGGATCACATTATTCTGTCCTTTATTTGTCTTCCTTAAAATAAAATTTTCACAATATGGCAAGTCTCTGTACTCTTTACTTGGTTACAGTTTGTGATTCGTACTTATCGATTTACGCTGTGGCCATTCTTCTGCTTATTGTTGTATAAATAAAACATCACTTTAGTCTGTAAGTTCCATGTGCTTCTGTTTCCTGCAGGTCCAACCCTTGTCCTTAGGACATTTGTCACTGATTTTCTTACCCTTGTGGATTTATCACCACTGAAGTCGGTGTTTGTTTTTTAATCTGACCTTGAGCTATTTTTTTACACTATGAGCTCGTTTGAGAAATGGTCATATCTCTCATTTGATTTCAGGAGTCACAAGACGACGTTGTCGAAACATACGGCCGAGCACTTGGAATACGCCAGTTGGCAATTGAAGGGAAGATTGATGCCGTTATTCAAGAAGTTCAGCGGCTACACCCGGATTTTTTCGAACATAATCAACATTTGCTTTTCCAGCTGAAACAGGTACCACTGGACTCCGCACCACAGACTTATGTACTTCCTCATGCGATTCATCTTGTGACTGGAAATTGTCGGCCTTGGTCTTTGTAATTCATGGTGTCTTACAATCGGAATTACAATTGTAGGTAGAGTTTCTACAGCTGGTGGAAGGTGGACATTTCACCGACGCCCTCCGAGTCGCCCGTGCGGACCTTGGGCCACTCGCTGCCAAGTATCACGAGTTGCTGAAACCTTTGAAGGAAACTCTGCTGGCTTTAGCGCGGCCGAAGGGGGAAATTTCACTAAAGCCCACACCACCTTCTGTTTTGGCAGCTGCTCTTCAGGTATTGAAAGATATATTGATGATGTAGGATATACGCCTATAGAGACCGGACAAGTCTGCTCCTCACTGTTATGCGTGCCTCTGGCATCTTCGTCCATGAGGAAAAAATTAACTTCACCCTACGGCTTATCTCCATGTCGTTTACCTTCAGGCGTGAGAGGGTTTAGCCACCTTCGTTTGTGGTTTTCCGTTTCATCTTCCCGACAGTAATCCTATTCGGTGACTGGAGATTGTAGTCTCTGTTTGATCCCTTACTGTAGTTATCCACGGGTGCATTCCATGTATATACAGGAAAAGTGGACGGTCATCATTTCCATCTACCTAACGACGATTTTTCATATTTGGACTGTCTTTCCCTTTCAGGTTGCGTTGGGTGCAAGTCTAGGAATCGCGGAGCCAAAGTTGATGAAAATTCTGCGAAACTGCTTGTACATGCACACGGAGTGGTTTAAACTGCAAATGTGCTCTGACCCATTTGGAGAACTTTTATCGATAAATACTCTGAAAGAGACGAACTCAAATGCCTCTGCATCCACCCGCGGTGACTCAAAACTGGGTTCTGGAGGTGGATCTGGTGAGCATGCCGTGATTGACCTGAGCAGCACCAGAACAGGAGACGGAGGTGGTAGTCAGCAGTCGGAGTCTTCCAGAGAGGGACCCCTTTTTGACGAGATGTCCATATTGACTATAATGGTAAGTTATAAAACGGCTGAAAATAGCATTCCATGTCTTGTCAGTGAAAACTTTTAAACCTCCAGTTTTGTCTATCTAGTTTCTTGTGATAATATGTCTATGCCATGGTTGTGTATCAACGAAATTCACAGTCTTCTTTGGCATGTAGTTTATCTCATGTTTAAAGCTCTTGTGCTCTTTATTTGTAGGATATAACGTTTGTTATAACAATAACAATATGGAGGGCTGTCACGTAGTTTTGGCTTTATGTAACTTTCTACTACTGATTCTTGAGTATGTCTCATGCAGGAATGGATGGCCCTCTCAAGGGGGGATGCAATACAGCTGCTTACTCAATACGATGGAAGTGTAGATAGTGTGTTAGCCAATTTGATATAAAGGTGTTGAGAGGAGAGTGTACATGAAAACTGTCACAGCTTGAGTTGCCGGTCCAGAGCGGGCCGCTTCCTTGTATTTAGCTATATTTTCAGTGAATCCTTCTTCAACGCAGGTACTTTAGATGTCAGCGCTTATCGTGGTCCTGCTTTCTCCCTTTCAAGGTGAAATTGTCATGCCGGTTTTGTATGATTCGCCTGCCGTTCTCTGTGGTGTTAAAGCTGAGAATTCATGTTCTGTTTTAGGAGGCAAACCTGTGAGTAGAGAGGCCTCTGTGCAGCAACACAAATCTGCCTCAGCAGAAGTTTCGCTCTGAAAGCTTGATCTGTGTACATATTGATTCTGCCACGAGATAGAGCTTCGAAGCTAAGAAGAAAAATAATGACAGTTCAACGATAACAGATTATTATTAGCAACCTATATTAGTTCACAACGCTTTAAAATGGATGATGGATAAGATAGGTTGGAGAAAAATAATGACAGTTCAACGATAACAGATTATTATTAGCAACCTATATTAGTTCACAACGCTTTAAAATGGATGATGGATAAGATAGGTTGGAGAGCGATTCTCAGGATCTTCGTTTTGTGCAAGTGTTTTCAATTTTTTCTTGTCTTTTGGGTTGGTTCGGGTGGAAAACGTCCGTCCCTCTCTCAAAACGTCCGTCCTTCTGTCCCAAAGATGACGGATCTTGTCTTGCACCCTGGCATGTGTGAGAAGTCCTGTTGAGGGACTTTCGGATTGTTATCACCCCTCCCCGAGTTAGAGCAGTAGCGAAAGAAACAAAACTTTTATTGCGTGGAATGGGAGGTCGAAGACGATTATGAAACACGTGAAAGGCGGGAGATAAAATAAAAAAGATCAAGAATGCTGTCTGTCGACAGCATTCTTGAACATTCAACATCTGTCTGTTGACAGAGATGTGGAATGTTCCTTCGGTCGCCTTCGATGTGAACAGTGGCTACCGTTATTCACTACCGGGGTACCATTGCAGAGTCAATGTAGAGCATCCTTCTCAAGGCCACCTAAAACTTTGTCCAACATGTTTGCAGACACCGATGTTTCGTTATTGAGTTTCGGTGCCACGAGACTTGCACACATTGAGCGCTGAGTGGATCTAACGTGGTACACAATTTTTGGCCTCCTGGTATAAAATTTTACGGTATACCATGTGCTTTTCATCTCTTTTGAACTGAATAACCAGTCCCTGGAAGCTCGGAATCAGGAATTGCCAGAATGAAGAAACCGGTGAGTAAATATGTTTCTTTGTTTTTAATACCAGTGAGTCAAAATACATCGTGCATAAACTTTGACCCGATGATGATGTGCTTCTAAGGGCCATATAGGCATGATTAGTGTTTCAATGGGAGAGCAAGATAAATAAAATAATTACGTATTGTTGATACACTGCCTGGACTTGTGCACAAACGGCTTCCCCCCATCGGTGCGAAGATTCGTGACTCGAATGAACCTCGTAATATCTTTGACATGTAAGTGTCTCCCACTACTAATTTCGAAGCGGTTCAGTATGAAGGTATGAACATAATTTTGGGCTAGAATCTACACGCTGATGTCCTCATTCACAACCTTCATTGTGAGTAGGACGAGTTGTGTCAGAGGGATGAATTGAGGAGCCACAGCCTCTCTCTGTGCAATTGCTCCGCCCGATGCCCCTTTCGTGGCTAATCCTCGATCAAATTTCACAAAGCTTTGCTCATCACCTGATTGCTGTCCCTCGACAACTCGTCTAACTATGCTGAATAAGTGAGAATCCGTTTGGGCTGTCACAGGTGAAGATCTGGAGGCTTGATTGTCCACCACCTTGAGAAATTGCAAAGTAGTATATATCGTGTCCAACCACTGTGACCGATATTGCTCTTCGGACGCTGTGAGTCTGAAACCCTCCGTTTCCAGCTTCGACTCTTCCATCCCGTTGTCTCCATAAGCGAGCTGGAGAGAAAGCCTATCGCGGGTGTGGCCAGCTAGGTAAGCAGCCACTGCAGCGCCCACGAATTCATGCAATGCCGTGCCCGCAGGCCTGCCCCTGTTCTCCACACAAATCTCGAAAAAGCAGTGCTGAAGGCATCGACAAATGTCAGCCAAAGAAGGCTTTGAATTCTCACTGTCCTGGTCACGATCATGGCGTCCCAAACAAATCGTCGGCCTTGTCCTATAACTCAGGACATTTCTCGCTGCTGCTCGTCTCTTAACTCGTTGCCCTCGGAATGCTCCATTTACTATCGATGAGTGTCTTGGCAGCCTGATTGCGATGTCTGAGTTCAGATTTCCCAGTCCAGCGCGGGCGATTGCACTGCCTGCCGCTGGAAGCACTGCAGCAGCTGCAGAGGCGGCCATGAAGAAATCTTCGCCCACGGGTTGGGCTGCGTCCGAAATATCAGTCGGTCATGGGATGAGTTCCTCGTGCATCCGCGCTTCTGAGTCTCGTCCGGCTGAGGACGCACCACACCACACCACACTCACTCAGTTTTGACTCACGCCCTACGACTCCCTTCGAGTTCCTGCTTCTGAATCTCGATCTCATTAGTGTGCAAGCCATATAAACCACCGCATTTGCATGGATCTTAGTGATTAAAAGTGGACACAAAAAAGTTGAAGAAAATCTCCTTGATTGCACTCAATATAATCTTTTATAGTTATAGGAAAAACCAAAGTTTATTTATATGTATTTGAAGCTCCTAATCACATTTTCTAAAACTTATGTGACTTTTATCTACATTTGAGCATTTCTTACCTGCTACTTGGATGCTTACTTGATGTATTCATTGAGTGAATAAAAGTGATTTTGTAACTTCCAAAATAGTTGCAATATATGGACATAACAACTTATTTCGGTTGAATATCTGAAATCAATATGATAATATTACATAATCCTTTGATTGTTGATACTATTAAGAACAAGTTTTGTTGTTATACATCACACACATTGGGAAAAGAGGACTTATTAGAAAATAGATAAAATACATTGTTAGAATGAACTCATGTTTACTTTACTTGCTTTACTAGTTTAACCCTAACTAGTGTTTAGGTGTGCTGTCATTGTAAAGTAGAGCTAACCAAAGCTGTCAACAAACACTACATTGTTTTTACCAATAAAATTCTTTTGAGTTACTGCGGACTTAGACCTGCATTGGCAAACAATGTACTTCTGTATCGACGTCTCGATGTATTCTCGTTTATGTGATATGTTTTCTCGAGAAAAATCCCTACATACATGAATATAGAAAAAAAAAAATATAAAAAAATACGTGCCATATTGATTTTTTTGAAATTGAATAAAGTGACTTACTGTAACTGGGATCCATGTATTCACTTTTGATATTAAAACTGCATCATTGTTATAACATAATTTGAGACCTGTCATAGAAGAAGTTTTAGGATATCAGCTCCTAGTTTTTTGAGTGTAGCCGCCATTCCAATTGGCTAATCAGAGTTGGTTAACGATCCATCTGGTTTCAGCTGGCCTCTTCCAGTCAGCTCCACCCTGGCCTGGATGTGCTAAGGGAAGATGAATAATTGGTATTTAACATATAATATCACACATAATTTTTAGAATGTTTGAGCATGAGACATAGGGTAGAATATTTGAGCAAGTTGAAAATGTTACATAATATTAGTTACTAAATATGATCATATACAATTTTTTTTAATCGAAAACACAAATAATGCTTTGACTAGCTTTTATGAAATATCACTGTATGTCTGAGAATGTATAATTAAAAGGAGCATCCTAGCATATCCTTTGATGATTCATTTTATACGTTTAATGCAAAGTTAATGTTGTTTGTATGTTCATTATCTGTGAAGATACCAACAATACATAGTAATTTATTGTTTAAAACCAGCCAATTTAACTGATGGCACCATCTAGTTGTTGGTTGCCAATATTCAAAATTAAGAACCTTCTCAATATTCTCAAGCACAGGTTATCACATGAAAGGTTGCTTGCCCCTAGTGAAATTTGTTTGGATCAGGGATATATAATTGTTACATTGCAACCATTCAGAATTTTGACAATGAAAAAACCATACTAATTAGCTTATTCTTGCACAGATTCTGAAGAGGCCACTCAACTAGAAACTTACTGTTTGGAATGAACTCTTCAGAAGTTAAACACGACTCAAGTATACAAATTATGTAAACATATAAAAAAAGATGTAATGATGTATATTATGCTGGAACATTTAAACAAATTGTTAACATCAGAATTATTGTCAATGTTCATATTTTTGTTATACTACCCATACTTAAGTAAAATCAAGCTATCATTATGTTTTATCTTTATCCCTGAAACAGGTAGAAGGTTCAATACTAGTTATTCAACGGACACGAGCTACCGTGAAAAAGTGAGTCCGGCCATATGAGGCTCAAGAACCTTAAGACGGACAGAGAGAGAGAGAGAGATCGATTGTATAAGGCAAATTAACAGGCATACAAAAAGAGTTCCTGTCGAAAATGAGATAATCTGTCTACTTAGATTCTTAGAACTTAGATTCGCCAGAACAGCTCCTCATCTCGAATAGCGATGGCAGGTTAGCAAGATGATCTCGGGCTTTCCACAGTCCAGCTGCGGGCACAGCTGATGTGAAAATATCTGGAAGATTATCTCATTCAGAGAGATCGTAGTATAACAGTCACAAACAAATGATGAGAAGATGTGTGAGACCAAAATATGCATGCACTCTTTGTCCCGTAATATATCACTTCACAAGTCATGTTGTACAAAACGCGATTTGACCATTAATGAAGGAGAATTTGCAGGAAATCTGCAAGATCCTTTCAAAATATAATCTCATCTGAACAATCCACTGCCACAGCTACTCTCCGTTCGAAGTTCCAATCCTCCGTGGATGACATGGAATTTCATGTAAAATCCTGATACTAACAACGACCACTTAGCTCCCTGGGACTTCGTCTTCGTTGACCTTTGGGCAATTCTATTCTACTCAACTCTGAATGCATTGGTAACTGATCCCTCAGATGTGCAAAATTCCAGTTACACCTACCACACCCTCACTTCTGTACAAATGCTCTGTGACACTCATAGTGCTCTCCAAGTGCTGTTCATTCGAACGGCATGTTCACAAGTTCTGTTGAAGAATCTTGAAGATAGAGAGAGTGAGAGAAGGAAACCTGAGTGAGTCGCTTAGAAACCACAACTTGTTTCTCTGCAAGCGCGTATCAGAAATGTCAGAATTCGCACAACTTCCAAGTTCGTCCCATGTAAAAGGGAAAAACAGAAGAAAGTAAATATAGTATACAAAAAGAACCAACATCCTTACTTCATGCAGCACAGACAATCGGGCCAACTAAGAAAAGGCAAGAGCCTCATCCGAGCAATAATTCTAGATCACAAAATACTTGTATCTCTTTACATATTCCTGAATTTCCTGGATTTCCTCTCATCTTCTTACCTTCTTCAAAATTAGGACTGAGCAATCTCCATATTAGGTTACAAGCCCCCGTACTTGCTCAAAGGATCAGAAGTTTTTCCAGACCGAGACTCAGACCAAGCCTTTGCTATGGTTCGCTTGGTCTCCTCATCTCCTTCATCGTACATATTCTGATCAACATTCATAACAGAAGACGGTCAGTGGCAAAGACCCAGATAAGGAACACATCACGGAATTCTACTACAAGTTGGAACATTGTATTCAAGTTTTGTGGAATGAGTAAAACCTTGATGTACTAAAAACTACTGTTTCTCATCTTACCTTCATCAGGTCCATAATTCCAGCCATTGGATCCTTGTCGGAATTTTTCGAGGGTTTGAACTGGATACAGGAAGACATCATTAGATATCCCTCTTAACAAATGCATGCATTAGACAGTAGTCGACATTGTCTGTGCATGTATCTTGCAAATTTCAACCCATTCTCGATTGGGCGGACACCTGGAATTTAGAACTGATAAAATTTATGAAAGAGGTACGTACACTTCGACAAGAAAGACCAAAAAGATATATATCAAGTTAATTCCTATCAATTCCAGAGTTTGAGAAACTCACACAACGATTGCAACAAGTTTCATTGAGCTCACCTTGTCTTCCTTGTAGTGTATATCAGTCCAATTTTGCTTTTCAGCCTTCCGTAGGGTAATGATTATCCTCTTGGGTTTAACGGTGATTCCACAGCTCTCCGGAATGATCGCCCCGTTAAGTCTTGGGATACCACATCTATAATTCTTGCCTCCAACGTCATGGATTTTCAGATCAAATGAGTTGGTCTTGAAGTCAGCCACGACTTTATCCTGAGAAGCACCCTCCAGGAAAATATAAATCTGCAAAGGACACACATAAGTAACTCAGGAAACCAAGTCGAGAGATGGGTTATAAAATCGCAAAAGACTACCCAATCCTTTAATAGCGAAAAAGTTAATATATCTGATTTAAATGCCCCCAGTAAAGTCAGAAAATCAATGCATTTACTCATCGTTGTTGATTAAAGCATTTGAAGACCGGAACCACGCATATTAAATCTCTCACGAGCTAATTCGCTTAAAACAGCCATGCAAGCAATCGTTATGAACTAGGAGATTCTCCAAACTTTCAGATATTTCTCTGATCCATTCCTAACCCCTCTGTCTTCCCCCGCTCCCTAAGCCATCTAAAGAACCATTCAGGAAGGTGTACATGGCCATTAGCATTCGTTATGTTAGAATACTTTAACATCTACCGTCATAACATAATTTGAGAACTTGAAAATAAGTTTAGATCGTTAACTGGACAAAATACAAAAACATTAGCGACTGTCTTCAAATAGCAATTGAACGCATACCTTCACTTTATCGAGTTCCTGATCATAGCTGAATCGGTCTAATGATATGTAGTTAATGGTTTGTGGTGTCGTAAATTTTGGAACTGACTGAACAGGCGCCATCGGTTCCGCAAGTAGGGGACGCTCAACCACTTCATTGACCTTGGTTTCCGGTGGGGAATTCAAATCCAAAACCGCTGCGTTCTTCTCAGTTGCTGTTGCTTGACTCTGTATCATGTACCATATTCCAAACAGTCGGTCAGATACAGGATAAATTGAAGTAGAAAGTAGATCGTCTTTTACAACAAAGCAGGACAGTTAGTATCTCACGTAAGTATTGAAACCATTACTCCTATGGCTATGTTATCATTAGCATGCAAAACAATACAGCATTGACTATGTAATCGACATACACAACATCCATACCCCGTCCAGTGAATCCTGGAAGACGAGAAACTGATGTTCAAATTCAACAAGGTTCGGTTTGTTCCAGAAGGCAAGAAACCATCAGCATATCACTGGTAAGCGGACTGTACGTTCGGAATTTATGAAATGTACATATACAGAGCATACAAACGGCGAGGTGAGTGTTCAACAGATAGTGTTGCGAGCATGTTACCCTAGAAACACATTCTTGTGAACAATTTGGAATGAAAGCTACTGAACGAAATGGATGGAAAAAATGTTGATGTTAAGTCCTACGGCAGCTCACCAACAGACCCTCCAATTCCACCTTAAAAGAACATTGGATGCAAAATTATCGGCATAAATTGCAAGTATTCAAATTCAGTTCGGAATCTATTAGGAAACTTCTCCAACGTTCACGTTCAGCGATCTCTCTACACACTGCAGTGGCTTCGTGACAACACATACAGTATTTCGTTCGGTACATTTCAAAATGAACCGTGGACAAGATCAACGACAAAAAAAAAATTCGACAAGCTTCTCGCACATGAGAAACATTGTTTCTGACGTAACTGACATTTACATGCGGCAGGATTAGAGCAGATGCATGTGAAATGATGACTTCCTCCACGATCACACTCGGATGTGCCAGCTGATTCAAAGAGGGAACTGTTCTGACTCCAATTGCTTCAAGAAGGCAACTCTTTCGATGAGCAGACGACCAGAATGCAACAGATGAGAGCAGACGAGAATCAACAAGTAGAGAGTCCCGATTGAGATGAAGAGATTGAATATTCACCTTCTTCAAAGCCTCAATCTCTTGCCGCAAAAGTCCCTGAACTCGAGGGCGTTTGGCAGCAGAGAGCAGCTCCTCAAGTTCTTCCAAGTCAGCGATTTCGTTACTAGCCTCGGCCATTTGCGCAGAATCCGAAGCCCTCCTCCTAGTGCTCCCTCCCTGGCTCCAAATCCAACCGATCGAACCCGGATCTCTTGCTTCCTGCTCGCGCTCCAACTGTCAGAACCGACCCCGAGATTCAGCCACTTCGGCGTGCTCGCGATGGACCTTTCCGTCGTGGAATGGCGATGCGCAGACGCTCACAGAAATCGCTTGCCATGGAATCCTGGCAGCGCAGTCGGCTCATAATCGACCGCCGAGCTTTCTAGAACACGACGCGGTCGGAAACTTCTGGTAAGATTGTCGACTGCAGTTGCCCGCTTTCTTACTCGGTTCTCATCAATAGCGTACTCGACAAGCGTCTCCACGCCCGTTCTTGGCACAGGGTCTCCCACCAGAACCTCCGCTCCGCTATCTTGGCGTCCAGCTCCAGCACGGACTCCTCGCCCAACTCAAGTTTAAGTTAACCTCACACGGACGAGTTTTACCTCGGGGTCGAGTTCAAGTCCGTCCGAGGTGAGCACGACTATCTCGTACCAAGTCTCACCACGACAGAAACTGCGTCGGATCTACTCTCCTGAACTCCGTAACAGGATGCGCGAATTAATCTACCGGCTTAATCTTCATCATCGATAGATCTAACTGTTATATTTCAGTGTTAGTGTCACGAACTGTAACACATACAAAGTTCATTCTCGTGCCACGGCATAGCAAGGTGAACCACTGCGACATACTGCGCACGACATTAGGTGTGGAGGGAAACTGCAGTTGATGGACTTGTGGGTTATTACGTTGAATTCCAGATTTAATCCATGTGTTTTTGGTTTGACCTATGTAATCTGAAAAGAAAAAACCAAGCGCTTTGCTTATTTTCAATTTTTTAAATTTAATTTGTGGTTCGGTGCACTGACTCTGATAAAATTATCAATGTGAAAATTACTGGATGGAGTTAGTGTGCAGTATATTAAAAATGGGCATACTGTACTCAGAGTACTCCGAGCTCAAGGGCGATGCATACGTTACGCGGTATGCCATACAATACACTGCGCTGTACGCTGTAGGAGAGGGGAGAGAGGTTCACGAGCGAACTGCGTAAAGGCTTGAACGCGGTGAAGGTACGAAGCTTTAACCAAGGTGCTTTAACATTTAGATGGGGTGGACTGTGGTCAGGAAAATAGAGGAAAACCCTATAATGCGGGAGGGAGGGGGGAGGAAGGGAGGGAGCGAACCACAGGGACCCGCATCCCCTTTGCGCCCTAAGTAGCCCATCGCGCGTCGTCTCCTTCCTTTCTGTTTCTCGTCGTCGAAACCCTCAATCGAACGCAGCTGCTGTGCGTGAGCGGCGAAAAGTCTGTCACAATGGTGCAGCGTCTTACTTACCGTCGTCGCCATTGTTATGCCACCAAATCCAACCAGACCCGGGTGGTCAAGACTCCCGGTAATCTTCCGTTCTTTTCCTCGTTCGATTTGGTTTGTGTGCGGCGTCTGTCGGTCGATTCGTGGGCCATCGGAATGGTTAGCTTGTGTTGAGATTGTGAGGATCAGGGGTTGGGCCGGTGCCGTGGAAAGTTTTAGGTCTGGAAACCTTTCAATGTCTGTAGCACTTTTTCCATCTGTGTGTGCCATTTCAGCCGGCGAGCTATTCATGGGAGATTCTTAGAATTTGCTCTGTTCTTGCATCAGGTGGAAAGCTCGTTCTGCAGACCGCTGCGAAGCGTGCCAATGGCCCCAAGTGCTCTGTGACTGGAAAGCGTATTCCCGGAGTAAGTAACACTTAAGTTGATGATATTGCCTATGGCTCAATCCTTAGTGTCAAAGTTGGGTCTCGTTTAAATCTAACTATTCAACTCTCTCATTCGAAACCGGTCGCATGATGTGATTTGCGCGTATTACTTTACCTCAAGTTCGTATGACTAAGAAGTAGCAATGAATTATGTCGTGGCGGTAACCTGAAATCCCTCTAACCTTGTTTCAGTTTCGTAATTCACTTTCTTGAGGGGCAACTATCGCAATATTTCCAATTCATGCCACTCTGGATCTACTCCCTTCTATGAACCAAACAGACAATCTCATTTTACCTGACCAGTGAATGTCCTCAGCTGGTAACTAGCACGTTGTATTGTAATGCCTCTTCTGTTCGCACTCCATGTACAACTACAGCAGTCAATCTGTTTCTCATATACCTATTTTCACCGGGTATCTTGTCACAACTCTTGATGGAAGTTTATACAGACTCAGCGAGGCTGAATGAACGTTAACAGATTAGGGTTAAATGAATTAGTCTTATGTTCTACGTAGTGAGGTATTTTGATCGATCACCTTTCGTAGGGTTATGTAGGCTTGGACGCGTGAGGCCTAGATTGAAGGATTGCCGTACCCCTCTCTAATATTCAAGCTTACTTTGTCGTCTACAGATTCCCCACCTCCGACCCACAGAGTACAGGACCTCCCGCCTTCACAGGCATCAGAAGACCATCAAGAGAGCTTACGGAGGAAACATCTGCGGAGCTGCCGTCCGTGAACGAATTATCAGAGCTTTCCTCGTGGAAGAGCAAACCATTGTGAAGAAGGTTTTGAAGATCCAGAAGTCCAAGGAAAAGCTCGCCGCCAAGGCCCAAGCTTAAAATGGATTTATCTGTAGTTAAGTTGCTGGGAACTGTTCTAGTTGGGTGTCCTTGCACCCATATCTAAATGAAAGTCTCTTGAACATAATTTTCATTATGAGGGCACTCAAGCTCTTAGGACGCACTCGTCTCGCCAATTTTCCCCGTAATTTTCCGTTTCACGGGAAGGCTCCAAGTTATTATGTGAGCTACTCGAGTAAGTTCTAGAAGAATTCAGTGGGCTAAGTTGAACAGGTAGCCCTCTTTTCCTTCTTTTCTCGCTGTTCCCGGTGAACGTATTTTAGATCTGTACTCAGTGAGATGAGCTGTCGTCATTTGTAAACTTGATGAGTTGAGAAATGCTTGGGACTTACTTGTACTACTTCCAACTCCCGCGATCGAATTTGAGTGCACGAATGCGCTGACTTGTGATCACAGCTAATTGTGAACACTATTATCTTAGTTGGAATTGTATCCCCATTTGGCTACAAGTTTCTGCGGAAAAAGGCTATGAAAGATTTCTTGCGTTGAGTTCGTTTCGAAAAACAGTATCATGGTACAGCATGAAGTAACATTTACTGTATACGACAGTTTTCGTCTTGATGCTCGGATGGAGTGATGTAATGAAAGTTAAATCACCTGGAAACGATTGAAAGAACACTCCGCAGCCTCCTGCGATATGTAGCACAGTCAAGTTTGCCAATAGTATGCTTTCGGCTCTGCACGAATGTCAGACGTGTGGAAATAGAAAAACCTCGGAAAATGCCGCTACTCAAATATAAAACAAAGTATAATAATCACTATGACGATAGTCTATGATTGTTGCCCCATACTCACAATTAATTGACCTCACGGGTATAGATAGGGCCGAAGAATTATCCTCAGGGTAGATAATTACATACACTCAAGTCGGCAGTCGCATACTGAATGTGATATCTGTGGAAGTCTGAGGCCATGTGTGACGAATATTAACATGTCTTCATCAAAGATTCTCAATGTGGTAGTGGGGAAGGGTAAAATTCTCCAGCACCACAGGTAAACCACTGATTTGAAGAATGATCAGGTAGGAGGATCGAGGGGTTAGTCTTGTGAGAAACCAACATACTCGCAGCCGATGCACAAAAGTGCTGTCAGAACCAAAGGCTATAATTCTTGACTTATGGTTATATGCTACACATGCATGCGACAAAGGGGGAAAATACCATCAACATATTTGCGTTACTCAATGTCTACGAGCAGGAAATTTCCTCTGAAGATGGATGTAGAAACACTGATCTACGATTCCCACTCAGATAAGTTTTCAAAAGGCATGCATTAACTTGAGAAAAAAAATGTTGAACATTTTCCACAAATCACCCTGGGAAAATAGACGTTTAGGTGAAAATGGGCAAATGCTGTCACACTAGCTGAGAATGGAAAGAGTTTCATCACCAACAACAGCTGAATGGAAAAAATGATTCATCCACGAGACATCAAAAGCTTCAAAACTCAACCCTCTTCAACTAGAGATACTGCCAAAGAATATTTCATTGACATAGAGAATCACACCTTCAAACACTCTGAAACACAAAAACCTCCCGAAGTCACTCTGTATCTGAGAAGTAGCTTCCGAAGTGCACAGACCCAGCTAACATCGGGGAATCAAACCGGCGACAACAGGATAGAAAATACTAGAATAGAAAAAAAAACACCGCTTCCTAGTGTGAAGGACAACTTTCTTAGCATTGGCATAATAAGAGAGAGAGGAAGAGAGAGAGAGAGAGTGTCACTCCTTTGCCACAAAGCTCCATTACCACGTGCATCTCGAGCTTTGTTCGACCTCCAATGTTCATCACTGAAAGATTCTAAGTGATCAGAACTGAAACGATTTTCAGACCAGCATTTTCCCCATCCTGTAGATCTCAGCTTCCCCGAGCAAGTTTCATCGGTACCCACATGCAAAGTGCCACAGAATCTAGGCCGAAATTATCAGTGAGAATTCCACGCACAGTGAACCTTACACGAATCATTCGTCAGTAATTCGTTTATTGAGGCATCTATCACCTCGTCCATATTCTTCCGTGTCTTACTCCCACGTTATAAATGCACAGCTCTTGCTTTGCCCAGCAACCTCTCAGCAATCGCTCATCGGTCAAGGACCCGTGCTGAGCTGAGCTGTAAGAGAGTTCCCTCGCCCTCTCCATAGAGCTTATTATGAGATCTCTGACAGTGCAATCTTTTAATTTTCGCTCTCCGTTTTACACGTGCTGCCCGTGGCCTCTGCCCATACACCGCCCGTGAAGAGGGTAATCGTCAGTTAGTCAGTCCAGAGTGAGGGCAGCATTAGGAGAGCAGAAGATCTGCTGTCAATCAGGTCCCCGCTTGGAATTCACCTTTTTGGTCTCTACATAAGAAGTGACGGGGGAGGAATTTGAGCGGCCAGTCGTTTACTCCCTCCCCCACACTATTGAAATTGTTGAGAGGAAAAGAAGACGAGAGTGATTTTTCGGTCAGGCCAGGGAACAAGCGATTCGATTCGAGTGACATATACGCGATTTGTTCCTTCACCTTTTGGCTTCGCCGTGCGCAATTGCAGGCGAGGATTTCGAGCGGTAAATTGGGCAGGCCGGGGGTCATCATTTTCTCAATACCCAGCGCTTGAGAATTGCGTCAGACTTTTGATGCTTGTTTCCCTGGAATGGAAGAGGTGCATGGGCTGACAGGGGATTGACAGAGGGTCGTGTGAGCATCTTGGCATTTGCTGCATGCTGTCGTCGTTGCCCCGGAGGTGGTTTCGAGTTGACTCGCGAGTGCCCGTTAAAGAGAAGGGCTGTGGGGTCGGTGAACTCTGTGAGGATTTGTATTCCGGAGAGGAGAGTGAGAAGCGGTAGGTGAGGTTTTGCTGTCCAGAAGGAGGTGGAGCTAGGCTCGTCAGGCTTGTCACTGTGGGACGGACGGGAGAAGCCGAAGGCGCCTGGGCTAGCGGATTTTCTCGGGCACGAGTCAGGAACTGCAGCAATTTGTGAACTATGGGTGGAGGCGATGATTCGACCTTTGATCCGAAACAGGGGCTCCGCATTCTGGACTTCTCTAATCCGAACAAGGTGGAGCTAGCGAAGACCTTACGGAAAGTACTGTCCTCATCTCTTCCCGCTCACTTTCAAAATTTGGCTGCAGTAATGAGATCGTCGAGTCTTAGCACCCAAGTCTCCGTCAGTCTTTTCTACTAGCTCCAAATCTTTCTTGCCTATCGTGTCGTGCGGTTTCAATTCCTAAACGTTGTTATAGGCAACGAGAAGAACGTCAATCATCTGAAGCCCGATTTAATGTCTACAGCATGCTCTACGGACTGAACCTCTGTAACATCGATGACCCTTCGTCTTCAGTGATAAGTTGTCTTTTGGCACGGCATATACACCTGCATACAAGCTGTTGCAGTTTCTTTTCTGAGCATGATGGTTGAAGCTCAAGTAATTATATACATTCTGATATGGATCGCTGCAGGCCTGCATTGACGATGGGTTCTTGTACCTGACCAATCATGGGATTGACGAGAAGCTTTTAGATGATGCGCTAGTGGACATTAAAAGGTTCTTTGACCTGCCAATGGAAGAGAAAATGAAATGTCTACACGATAAGAATCATAGGGGTTATACACTATTTGCAGAAGAGATCTTGGATCTTGTAAACCAAAAGGAAGGTGAGATTTTCTCATCAAATCGACACCTGAGAGAGTTTGAACGTGCAAAAGGCGATCTGAATATTCTTAGATGTCGTACGTCGACCTGCTGTAAAGTATCTAAGATATATGCCTGAAGTGCCTAGTTCTGGAATGTAGAGTGCTTGAGGTTCGCAAATCTCTTCTCGAATATTGGTAAAATGACTTTCATTATTATTTTACCAGGGGACACTAAGGAGGGGTATTACGTCGGATGGGATGTTCCTGAGGATCATCCAATGGCAAGCAAGCCATTGCACGGCCCAAACCAGTGGCCCTCTGAAGGTATGGACAGGTCAACTTTCAACTTCAAGTTCTTCATGTAAATTACATTCAAGTTCATCAGATCATACCATGAGGAATGGGGGCTTTACACAGATCCTGGATGATGTATCTATGATAATGATGAATGATGTGAAATAAGTACAGGGAATTCATTGAAGTTGTGAAATCAACGTTCGACCTCATTTGTGTTTTATCGGACCTCTTGAAAGTGTCTTGAGTGCATAACAAGCTATTACGCACAGGGAATTTCAGAAGTTTTACCTGGATGGAGATCTGCGATGGAAAAGTACTACTTTGAATTCTTGTGAGTATACTGAACTCAGTAATGTACTTCACATATAGCAACAGCTACTGTTAAGGTATGACACTTTTAAGTATATAGGATGGTTGATCTCTTTTTCGGTTCTCAGGAAGCTTGGGCACAGAGTGGCGTCTTTAATTGCGTTGGCCCTGGAATTGAGGCCTGATTTTTTTGAGAAGATGTTCACTACACCAATGGCGGCAATGCGACCGCTCCATTACGAAGGTCAGGAGAGTCACTCCTTGAAATGCCGTGTCGAAGACCTTTCCACATATTTGCAAACCATATTCTAAAATATTTACTCTCAATTTGTAGTGGTTCTAAACACTACTAGAGCAAGAGGGGCAGTTTACTGGCATCCTACATTGATGCGATTTATAAGGTTCAAGTTCTGAAAGAAATAGAGTGTTTTTCCAGAGGCTATGACAGGCATGTACTAATGAGAAAATATGAAATATGCTGCACTTCAAACTCAATATTTGAGATTCAAGAGAAGCACCCATCGTTGAGATACTCATGTTTCTTGGTACTCAAACTATGCAGCTATTCACTCGAAGCCAGAAGAGGGAATATTTGGCTCTGGAGCTCACTCAGACTATGGGTTGCTTACAATACTCCTGACAGACGAAACTGGGGGTCTGCAGGTAATGGACAAGATTGAATCCCACTATACTCTATCTATGAACTAAATGAATAACTACAATATTTGGGGAGTTGCCGTGCAAATCTCTGGATGGAATTTTGATACAGAGTTGCTTCGGATCAGCTGACGGTTCAAGATTTTATCATTTCAGATCTGTAAAGACAAATTTGCAAAGCCTCAGGTTTGGGAAGATGTACCTCCGATAAAAGGGTATGTTTTTTCAAATTCATATCCTCTCTCATTACGTTGTGAACAAGCTGATTGCGCTTAACATTTTATATAAGAAGTAGCACCCAACTTATGAAACTTTGTAGTGATGATTCTGTGGTGGATTTTTCAGGGCACTTATCGTGAACCTGGGAGATATGTTAGAGAGATGGACCAATGGCCTATTCCGGTATCGAATCTTTTTCATCACGTTTAACATTCTTCCAAAATTTCATGTTTTCTTGGAGGCGGATTATATTGCTCTTGAAATTGCCATCTCTTATATGTTCTGTCTTCATGTGTTGTTTGATGTAGATCCACTTTGCACCGGGTCTTGACTAAGGGAGTGGATCGCTATTCAGTAAGTTTACCTACATAAACTTCCGAATGGAATTAGGCAAACAATAGGGTGCTTGCTAAATGATTGTTAGATTTTTTTGACAGATAGATGGGCCTAAAACTGATTATTTTGATCTTTTCTGGTCTCCTGAAATCAGATGGCCTACTTCTATGATCCCAACTTCGATACCATGGTGGAGTGCCTGCCAACTTGTTGCTCGGCCAGTAATCCCGCCCGGTAAGTAACTTTGGTGTTTGGTGTTAGGATTGACTGTTAATGCACATGGAACATGCCTTTCGGAACGTGGAATAAACTTGCGAGAGAACGTGCCGAGATTGAGGCTGGAGAGCATCTTTGCAAATCTTTGAGGAATGATAATAGTAATGAAAGTCAGTCGTTTGTTGCAGGTATGCTCCCATGACATCTGGAGAGCATCTTCTAAAAATGTACCACAAAACTGATAAGAGCTTCGACGTTACAGCAAAGCCTCATGGTTTCGACGATCTGCCCACTTCCAACTCACAGAAGAACGAGCTTTGATACGTCAAAGCCCACACGAGCAAGTCCATTAATTTTTCTCTGTGGATTTGGTCGAGCGATGCAAATCTGAAAACTGTAAACACTTTCAGAGACCTTACAGTGACCACTTGCCCGCCTTGTATATATTGAATGATGATGTATTAATGTGATATAGAAAGTGGTGTTCTTCTGAGCAGCTCTACTGTCCGGCTTTATCAAGCCAAGGGCTTTTTTTTACAACTCACACCTTCATGCGTTCGGGAGTCTTGCATCCAGTATCCATGGTTTTCATTCGGAGACGATGCTACAAATTGTTGGCAACAACGGTACGAGCGAGACCCAGCCCATCGTAGCGGTAGGGAGCCGATAGCACGCTACTCGGTCCGCTCTCCTACAGCATTCGTTTCTTGTATTTACCTCAGGAAATATTTACGAGTGTTGTCAGGAACGATGTCAAAGTGTCCAGCACAGTTCGATCCGATCCGACTGATTTAGCGAACAGGGTGCATCTAACCGACAGGTGACTGTATTTCCGAGCTACGATGCATCAGTTGTCATCGCTTTACCAATGGAATTGTTTGCACAATCCTTCAGCGCATTGTACACTACCGTGTGTAGAGTCTGTAGTCCCATATGTTCCGGGCTTCATAAAAATTATAAAACTCGAATGTTTCTATTTTTGTAAGTTATGCCATGTAAGTAGGACTTTATTACAGGCTCTGTTTCTAGACCCTGTTTCTCTGTACTTTAGATTCGGATCTAAAACGTAAACTCTGATTAGCCGATCAGATGGGATGCATTTTGTTCACTTAAGACTGATGTTAGAATACAGAACGCAACTTGAGGGGAATTGAGGTTACCTTGTAATATTTTCACACGAACTCTACCAGCCTTAAAATTATGTGCTATGGCATCGCTAAGAAGGGTTAGCCTGTGTTGTTCAAGACTTAGCCACAGAACTTACAAGAATTGTTTCCCTGAGAAGGTTCAGCTAAAGACCGATGAATAAATCATGTGCGCTTGATTGTGTTGTATTTCAAGATTATCCACGTTATCTGGACCAGTGAAGTCCTCAATAACTGTATGATATATCCCAGTAGAATCCTAATCCTTGAGTTTCACTAGATTTAGGCGTTCTCTATACCTCTGGTAATTCCATGAATAGAGATCGGGTTTTCTTTCTTTGCATGTAAGCTTTGTAAGATTTGTCTACCCAATCATATTTCTTTTCATTGATTCGATTTTCTTCTCGAAGAGGAAGGTTCTCACATATATCTACAGAAAAAAATCAATCCAAAAATACAAGAATCTTGTGTATATTTTGTGAATTACTTGCAATGACTCTGGATTGGCATGTCGTTAGAGTAAACCTTTCACTAACAAGTAAGTCCAAATTCCATCCTTTATGGATTGAAATAGTCCAAACTTTCACAACAGTACTTATATTCTAAGAACTGTATCATAAAAGTATGTGTGATGTATTTGATATTGCTTTCCGAACCTATGTTTGGATAGCAAATTTTTATGATGGTTTTGTCATATTGCATGATACAAAACCATCATAAAGTCGGGTATTATGTACTGGAACATAGTAAGCACCATGCCTACATCACCGATAAACTTATAACTTCCATTTGATAATGATACTTTAAATAACCAATAAAGCTTATTGTCATTTCCTCCGATTCCATGGTCTATACACATATAAGTATTTTAAATCACAAAATTAAAACAAAACAAAATTTCATTCAAAATCATTCAAAATTTTTTTATCTATTTATCTATAATCGTGTAGAACAACTCACTAACTTGCAGAATATTTAGGTGTTAACTCAGGTTTTGATTTAACTAAAGTTAGTTAAGTGCATATTAATTAAGCTTGTTAGTCTATCACTATGTAAGAGAAGACAATTATAGATTTTTGTGAGTAAAGCTTGAATTTCGTATGTGTACATAACCCACATTGATGAATCATATTACTTTTAAGCATCCGCTGTATGTTTGTATCCATTTTTGGAATTAATGTCTATTTACTTGTTCTACATAATTTAACAATTGGTATCACAGAGTCGCAAGGGAAGTGTTAACACTGGAATAGATATAAAGTTTAGGGTTTAAAGCAGTGATTTTAAACAACTTCCAATGAGCGAATAGATCCTTTTACTTTGCAATTTTCATTGAAAGTAGAGTGGCTTCGTTAGTGGCTGACGTGTTGAAAGATGGTAAGCACCATGTCTAACATAAGTTATAAACTTATAACGTCTATTTTGTTTAGAATAAAAGTTGCATTGGATCTTGACACTTGCACTCTGCCGTGATCGAGCTTGATTTGGCAGCAATGTCTGGATGCTTGATCTTAAGAGAAGAAAAGTATGAGACGATAAGCTAGAGTATCATGCAATTTCATAGGAATTTGATACAAGTTGTTGAAATTTGTTTGGATTGAAAGAAATCATTGGTAGGTGGACTAAATGGTTTTAAGATATTCTAACGTCACAATATTCAAATAAATTATGAGTATACTTTAAAAGTTGAATGATATGAGTGTTGATTTCAATCGTTTAGTATTTTATGTGAATACATATTTTTTGCTAGCAAGAGTATAAATGATGTTGATGATTTGAAACCTGTTCAATATTTTATAAGACTCATACATCATATAAGTTTTTGAGGATGAAGATTCATAGAAATTTTAGATTTCGTGAAGCTATGGCCTACTTCAATTAAGCAATGAAATTACTTGCAAAATTTAACATGAATGTCATTATTCATGATAAACTGTGTGTATTTTTTTAGCATGACTTCAAGTATTCATCAATTTTGTTACCTTAAATATATTATGGAGAAGTTTTGATGTTCAAGATATTATACAACTTGCATAAAATTATGTGAATTTAGAACTTAGAAAAGAAAAAAACGTTTTGATCTAAAATAAAATGTTTATTAAATATCTGCCTAAAGATGATTTAGCTTTCACTTTCAACTAACAAGTTGTATCCATGAGCATGATTTTGTACATTAGGCATTCTAAAAATAGATGCTTAATATACCTAATTTCAAATCTCAAAAATCTCTAATCTCAAAATTATTTATCGTGTAGTTTCAAAACAAAAAATTTTCAAATGACTTGAACAGCAAAACGGTCGAATGTGATGTCGACGCGCATTACACCTTTCAATTTGTCGCATCAACCGTAATATGGTCTGCAGATTTTAGAACGAGACGCTGCCACAAGTCGGATCATTGTAGTTGCATGCAGATTTTGTACAACATTTGATCGGTAGAGCAAAATTGATGCAAAACGTCAAAGATCAATAATAAAAAAAAAGTTTCGTATCAAGAACTCTCGCATTCGTCTCAAAAGTGAGCGGGTGCTTGCTTTTGAGATGAATGCGTTGGCAAGACTATCAGACATTCTTTAAAGAAAGTAAGCTGATTTATTTTGACATTGAGTTACCGTTCGTGAACACAATGTTGTATCATCTGGACAAAGATACCGACCATGTAACATAGATCATTGACAAGGACATAGTTGAGGTCATTATCGAAGAAATTTTATGGAATCCTAAAGATTTTGAAGGCCAAACCTATGAGAACGCAATGCGCGTATTCACGCTAGATGCTCACACGAGTATCTATTCTGTGACTATCAAAACCCCAATGGTATACCAACTTGTAATTAAGTACATTGACATTGGTTTGAGTTTCTGACAAACTGTGTTGGCGCTACAAGCAACAAAAGAAGTTGCCATGATCTCCAAGCTAGGTGGGATGAATGATTTGAAAATTGTTACATTTGTACGCGTCCAATGGAGTTCCAACTTTTAGACAACTTCTAATATCTTATGCATGGTGTGGGCGTTTTCAATCGCGCTGGATGCCTCAACTTGCATGGGTACTTCATACATAGATATTTGTGCTCGTTTTGTTTGACGACGCCAGCTTTATAATTTGCATCTTATATCAATTTTGTATTACGGATCTCATAGTGGTTTGTCACAGTTTGAAATTTCGTGCAAATCATTTGATGTACTCTTTTTCAGCTCGAAAAATCAATTAATTGGTGCATCGTCTGACAGAATTTGAAACATGATAGGTCATATTGCAGGTGTTATCACGCGTCTTCAACAATGTTCATTGGAAGTATTCATTCGTGTGTGGTGTATTCTCCTTCAATTTGACATTCCACTACAAGAGGCATACTTGAAGCTGGTTGACGATGTATATTATGCAACACTAGTATCTATGATATCGCACTTGCGTCAACAGCAGAAGTTTATTTCCAATATGAAATCAACTTCTACCAAGATATCTACGACTAGATGACACGTCATATTTAGTGCCACAAGCTGGCTCGATGACCGTCGTCACGAAATCAGTGCTCATTATTTTGAAATTCTAGTGAACTCTTTTCGAGGTGCATCTCAACCTAAAAATGATATCCGGTAGGTTTTAAATGCTATCACAAGGAGCATCACAAGTGTTATAAATACAACGGTGATGCGATTTTAAGATAATCTATTGACGTTTAGCCAACAACAAACACATGTTGAACTACTAATTGATGAATTACTGCTCAAGATCAATGCAATTCTAAGTTTGAAAATGTGCACAAATTCACTTCTGTCATCCACAACAATTGGTTTGTTTCCTATATTGACATTTGGACTTCATCAAAGATCTTGGACATTTTGCTTTGACCACAATCAACAACCTCCGTGAACCAATTCGACAAGTACTTCTTTGGAACGTTTTGTTCCTTATAATTGACATTGTCAATGAATTTATGAACTGCGTAGCATTGCGAGATGAACGCGGATCAAGCAGGAATTTGGACTGTCTATCCGTGTATCCCTTTGAATTAGTGAAACTTAAAAGTCGTGATATTAGCCACCTTATAATCCAATAGAAGTCTCGTCTTGACTGTAGTTGATCTTCTTCAGAAATTGACAAATTTGGGTCTCAATTTGCAAAGCTTTGTACCATGTACAAAAATGTCTCTGCTTGTAATGAAACCATAAATTCATGTGATCACAAGTGCTCGTTTGAGGATCCGTGGTCACTACCATGTTTATAAGTCTGTTTCAATTTTTTGGTAGATTTCATTGATGAACTGGGTTTACCGTTTCCAAATACATCTCTTGTCAAGAGTAACTTTTCAATGTTGAAATTCAGAAAGTACGTTTTTAACATATCATTGACTGATTTTTTTCTAGAAAGATTCCTCCAATGTAAACAATTTGATCTTTTGCGCATCTTGAAGCAATAAAACAATCACTTTGTTTCTTTTCAATGAGTTTCAAAAGCACTCACTATAGATCACATGATTGATGAGGTATTTGCATGCTGAGTATACCATGCGCCTTCAATCACTTTGTTTCTTTTCAAGCAGTTTCAAAAGCACTCACTATAGATCACATGATTGATGAGGTATTTACATGCTGAGTATACCATGCGCCTTCAATCACTTTGTTTCTTTTCAAGGAGTTTCAAAAGCACTCACTATAGATCACATGATTGATGAGGTATTTACATGCTGAGTATACCATGTACGTAACCTTGCCAATCTGTTGTCTATTACGTTAGCTCATAGAGACCGAGAATGAGAGAATCATTCATACAGTGGGGATTGTACACGGGCAAGATACATATCAGAAGAGTTCTTGAAGTGTATTGAGCTGAGACCCTGAACTTGGGATTCAAGCAAATCGGAAATAGATCCATTCACATCAGATGCTATCAGGAATAAAGGTTTGAGAGAAATTTATTTAGATCTAAAATGTCTTATGTTGAGTTATTTTTGTGAAAATTTCTAGTTAAAATTGATAAAAAAGCTTTTCATAGAATTATTCCTCTGTAAAATTGAATTGAAATTGATCAAATGTATGTATTGGATTTTTGTAAGCAATAATGCATAAAAGTGTCTAATTTTATTGAGGATTTGTGACTAATTTGCTTTGATTAGGCACAAATAGGCATATGCCTAATCTACAGAGACTTGTCCATGAGTATAAGATATTATCCTAAGACCTAGTAGAGAGGTGATGTTACAAAATGACACATATTATGTTGGGTGTTGTGATTATGGATGTGCATGTATATTTGTAGTGTTATACACATGGTATTATACTACTGTATTATACAATACTTCCAAATCTACATTGTATAATTGTATAATAAAAAATCCATAGTCAGCAGATTATCAAAAATGTGAAATTTTAAAGTATTAGTATTTGGAAACTCAAACTCCAATAATATAATTCCGTGGAATTGTCAAACTGATTTCTATGAAATTTCAAGAAAATATTTAATATCAAGAATTAGGCTCAATATCAAAATCCAAGTCTGCAAGGGAGCAATGAGTGAATGAAAGGCTAGTGATGAGTCTTGTTTGCAATCATGGGATTGCAAACAAGTGGATGTTTACGTTTGTTTATATTACACTCGAGTAAAATTGCGACTTGTTTAAAGTCATGGATTTCAAACATGTGGATGTTTACGTTTTCTTATGTTACACTAGAGTGAAATTGACTACCTATCCGAGGAATAGCATCTCTGTTGAAAAAGAAAGAAGTCTTTACATGCCGACGTCGAATTCAGGAGAGCTAAATTGAGAAGGTTGTATCACAAGAATATAGTGTTCAACTTCTTTTTCCTTGAGCTATGGTATTTTATTTAAAAAAGAATTTCCACCATATGCGTATGACAGTGCTTTAGATTACATAGATGAGAGATTTCATTATTTTTTATTTCAAAAGACAACTCTTTCATGACTGGTGCCAAACACGTTGTGGATGGAGTATTGAAATCTGTTTATGTTACAATTGAGTGAAACAACAACTTTGAAGTGAGAAGAAGTTTTTGTCACTTGTGTAAGTTGTTCACCGTCACCAGGTTTCGCGCTTCCCGCCCAAGACGAGAACGCCTGGCTTTTCTTGTGACACCTTTCTTGTCGATGGCGATGATGGATCGCACTAGCTCGGAGGCAGCAAGAATTAAGATCGATCGGAACGATTGCTGAGAAATAAGAGATTCTTGTATTCAGTGAGAAGCGTCGACTTCTAACGAAGATAATAATAATCAGCAATAATCTCCCATTCGTAAGAAAGAGATGGTAAAAAACGAACTGCCTTTCGATGTGTGATCATGTGTGATTGGATGTATGATCATACAAAAAAACAACTTGAACTCTCATGTAGCTGACAACAATTTGCGCCAACGGAGAAGTTACAGAAGCTAGTGTAAGTTGTTCACGAGCTTGGTTGTGCAAGCACAAGATCGATACCTGGATCGCCATTCTATTCAATTCGAAACAGCTTGATCATCAAATCTCTACAACAAGGGATACAAAGTTTTGCCAATGACTGTTATAACTCTGTCCCAACAGTGGATATGAAACTGAACTAGAAGACTATCCTTGAACGAGGATGAGGGTGATGGTAGCATTGATGAGTTTTATTGTGTTGACATATCTCAGGAAGTTGACGGCATGAAGTGAGGAGGAGGTGATGTACGAGGGGAAAACCCTAAATAGGGGGAACTTTGAGCACTGCATAATGCATTTGATTTTATACTGTATTATATAGCACAATACTCAAAAAATCCAATTATAGAGAACCATAGTTGCGACTATAGTAAAATTCTCAATGTCTTAAAATAAATGATAAGCTTTAAAATTGAAGTTCAACTTTTTGAACTAGAAGGTAATTATCTTCATATGTTGAAAATAGGGAAAAAGCCAGAAATTTTCCATTTTCTTGGAGATAACATGAAGATCCAAGATGACTTTTCAGTAAGAGATTTGTGTTAGGAGTATGAGAGCAAAATATGCTCTTTTCTCACTTGATAAGAATAATTATGCATATTTTGGTAAAATTTTGCTCAGAATATATAGTGAGAAAAGTTCAAACTCATATTTATTATATACTCTTATAAGTCATAAGAATGATATAAAGAAATGAAGGTGAGTATTTTCCATGAAACAAAAGCAACGTAGTACGAGTCTTCTGGACTTGAGAGGGCGAGTAATTCATAGAATAAACTCAATGAAGGATTTCTAGGTGCGATAGTGGACAAGGATGTGGCTGCCTCGCAATTTACTCATCGGCCTCGGTGCCAATTCCACTTTCCACCAGTACCAATATCCATATTTCATATATATTCTCTTCCGATAAATTGCGATAGATGCAACTGTTTCCACGTCCGGTTGTTTTTACCAAGGCGATGAATACATATCTAGAATGATAGCTCCATGGAAAACTGTTGCGAAACAAAACCTTGGATCAAAGGTATGCAGAATCTCTAACAAAGTTTAGTTTGAAAAGTAAAATGATTGAAAAATTCTGAAATTTAGTCCTAATATGTTGAGAACAATGTTGATAATGTAGAAGAAAAACTAAATTCACGTTGTCTGGAAAGATTTATATTAAATGAAACAGAAAAAAAAAATAGAACATGACAAGAGGATTGAGGTTCAGTTCCGTCCCTTCCTTCTTCTAGCAGGTTATGGTCCCCGAGCAAGCAAATAATCCAGTATCTTTAGCGACAATGAATCGAGGTTGAATGGCTGTGGATGATGGTACACAGAAATGTACCTGTGACTGATCTCATTGCAGTGCGTTCATGGCACCTTTTCGTAGAGCGACTCAGCAGCTACGAACACCTGTTGGAATCCAGAGCAATACTCAATTTAAAAGCAATCTTTCGATCATAACAAGAAGTTATGAAACAATCCTCAAGCATCTGGATGTTTGTTCATGACGGGAAGGAGGAGAGACGCCTTTGGCCTCTTTGAATGAGCCGGAGGTAGATGCGGAGTATATGTGACATGGAGTTTGTCGCAATACTCACCAATGAATAGCGCGTTTCAGTCACTACCACAATCAAATCCCGTAAGAAAATTACAGCAGCAGCCGTATCTCTCCCGACAGCTACACTAGGATAGGACACCTGTTCAACTGTCCAAGGATTAATTTCAATCATTAATGTATCCCATATTTGACTTGAAAAGAATAAACCAAATATACAAGAGTAAGGAGTAAATCGTGAGTCAGCGGCAAGTTTCCGAATGAGCTGTCAGTCATCGGCGACCTCCTCGTGCCATTCTCGTCATTTCCCCATGCGGCTAATTGGAAGTGCAGCTATTTACAGCAGCAGATGCTGCCCCCTTGGCTAGCATGGATCTATTGGGTCCTACGGAGTACGACCCAATCGCAGGTCTAAATTCGCTTCTTTGGCGGTAGTAACTTTCGACCTGCAGGCCCCGCCCCCCGCCCGCATTCCTGAACTGTACTTTGCAAAAGATCCCCACAGGAGCACGTCGGGGCGAAAGAGAGAAGCATGGAAGTCATTGGCAGAGAACAGGATGGAGCGACTGGGTTAATTAAGTTATTGGAGATGTCAAAAAAATCACTTTTTAAGAGCGGTGGTTATATATTTACACGCTTACTTGAAATCAGATCGATGGGTTCGTGGCTTTATTTTGTGGAGAGTTAGTTAGAGGAAGTATTTCCCTCTGGGTCGGGGGATGAACGCCTAGTGGTCTGAGGGTGAACGAGAGGTTGTTAGCAATTGCATGGCCGTGCAAGTCGGATCTCTATTTCTGGATGAGAGGCGGCTCATGGCTCCGATCGTGGACGAGGACTCGGTCACAACAAAAACAACAACCGCGACGAGGAGTCGATTCCGACAACTCGAATGAATGAAATCTTTATTATTTTCGCGGCTGCTTGGTATTGAAAGTGTCAAAAATGACTGCTCGTGCTCGCTGGTCGTCTTGCATCAATTCATCCGTTGATTACAAAACACAAATGTTCTTAGCAACAGCTTGGGGAGAACGATGCCGCTAGCATACCTTTATGGATAGTGTGTTGTTCCCCACACATTGTTCTGTTCTTGAGAGTTTCATGCGATTGAAATTAGCACATTCTCCTCAAGCACACGAGAAGAGTTTTTGTGTTGAGTCTGTGTCTTAATCCGGAAATCCGAATGTGGTGAATTGGAGAGGAACAATGTGGGTGCTTTTAACCTACTGACTCGTAAGGGAAGCTTAATGCAGTATGAAGAATGGGTCGAAGAAGCTCCAGATATGTTAGAGCAGATCTCTCTAGATCCTAGTCCAGTCAGAGAGTACCATTTGTTATCCCAGAGTTGCATCTTTGACCCATCGAAGGCGAGCATTGATCTGAAGAGGAGGGAGAAGAAAGTTGCAAACACTTTGCTGTGCTGGGGGTTTCGTCTCTCCGTTGCCAGATAAATGGAGGTGACTGGAAACGTGGAGAGAGAGGCGACTGAGGAATGTCTTGAAAGCACTAGGCTCCACAAGCTCTAGGCTTGCCAGTATAGCAGCCATCACCACCTTGCCCGACCTCTTATGTGTGTAGACGAGTCTCTAAGATTCTCACGATTCATAATCTGAAACTGAAGCGCGAGTGAGTGAAAAACTGCGTTGTTTAATAATACTAATTTATGGTATCTAGCAGATGAGCTTTCTGTGTTTAGAAAGAGAGAGAGGGATGGAGAAGGGAGTGAAACTCGGAGGAAGAAGAAGACAATCGTCCTCAACCTCTCCGTCCCCGTGCCTGCCTGCCTCCCTCCTTCCCGTGTGCAGCACACACATCCCAAACCGTGGGAACGCGCGTTCAGAAGGTGGTGTCTGAAGGTCGCTGCGAGGGTCGATGTCTGAGGCAATCCTTGTAACGTCACTCCATTTTGACTTCGGCGCTTAGGATAGCTCGAAGTGGGTACCCGCTCGGACCCTAAAAGTTCATTCTCCTGCTGGTAAGACCCTCTTTCTCAATCTCTCACTCTCTGCAATCCTGGAGAAAGAAAATAGATGAATTTACTGTGAGGAGTCGATGGTAATATTGCGACATTCATGCCATCCATGCCTTTGAGTTCACGTCTGTTGTGTTCGCGGAGTGAGTGAATGGAGTCAGTCTTCGCTACGAGCTCTGCTTCTTCTTCCTGCTTGCGTGCCTGCGGACCTCGTTGTGGGAACATTCGCGAAACTTGCGCGGTTGAGGAAGAGAGTTGCATGGGAAAGATTCTAATGTGGCAAATTTCCGTCTCAGCATCAAGATCAGACCAGCGCTTGAGGAATTGAAGCGCATTGCTCTCTCTTCATACGTTGCCCTCGTATTCCCGGTCACTGTCTAATAGGGCGGTCGGTCTCTCCTACCTGCTGACTGAGAATTCCTTCCGCGGAGTTTCAATCGTCAAGTAAATGTCGCTCTGCCCATGGGTTTAGGGTCCGCGTGAGCCCGGCACCCACACCCTCTGCACAAGTTGCCTCCGGGCCGTCTTCTTCTTCACCTCTTCCCACCCAATTCCCCCACAGAATTCGCTCTGCTGCGTTGTGCTCTTCGCCAGCGGCGGCGCTCATCGAACCACTGCTCAGGTTTTGCAGGTGCTCGAGTGCAGGGCTCGCAGAGCCAGTCGCCGAGCCCGTCGTCTCTCGTCCGAGCTTTGGCGGGGCAGGGGATCGAGGCAGAATTCGATTTAATCCAATCCAATCCATCCCGATCGATCGAGCGATCGCGTCACCGGCCAGGGCCTCGATCGAGTTGGAAGGGCTGGTCGATGGACTGGGGCGGCCGCTAAGATGCCTGATGCGCAGGGCGAGAGCTGGATGGAGGCGAATGCGAGGACGATGGTGCGTCGAGCTCTAGGATGGCACACGCGAACTACGTGATCTTGAGCGAGAGGGACATTCGGGCGCGACAGGACGAGGCGATCGGCACCATCGCGGGCCTGCTCAAGGTGTCGGCGCCCGACGCGGGCATTCTGCTGCGCCACTTCAAATGGAGCGTGAGCAAAGTGATCGATCAGTGGTTCGGCGACGAGGAGGGCGTGCGGCGTAGCGTGGGGCTGCTGCGCCCGTCGCGGCCCGAGTTCCAGCGACGGACGAGCCGGCGCCCGAGCCAGCAGCAGGATGTGCAATGCACCATCTGCCTGGACGCGTTCTCGTTCGCGACGGCGTGCAACATGAAGGCCGCGCCGGCGTGCGGGCATTTCTTCTGCGACTCGTGCTGGACGGGCTACATCCACACGGCCATCAGCGACGGCCCCGGCTGCCTCACGCTGCGCTGCGCCGACCCGAGCTGCGGCTGCGCCATCGGCGAGGACATGGTGCACGCGCTGGTCGCGTCGCCCGACGAACGCCGGAAGTATACACGCTTCCTGCTGCGCTCGTTCGTCGAGGACAACCGCAGGGCAAAATGGTGCCCGGCGCCGGGCTGCGAGTACGCCGTGCTGGGGCTGGCGCCGGGCGCGCCCGGCGCGGGCGACGTCCAGTGCAAATGCTCGTTCCGATTCTGCTGGCACTGCTCGGAGGAGGCGCACCGGCCCGTCGACTGCGACACGGTGGGCAAATGGCTGGGCGACCTCAAGGTAAACGGCGAGTCCGAGAACATCAACTGGATCCTGGCCAACTCGCAGCTTTGTCCGAAGTGTAAACGCCCCATCGAGAAGAACCAGGGATGCATGCACATGACCTGCACGCCGCCGTGCAAGTTCGAGTTCTGCTGGCTGTGCCTGGGCGACTGGCGCGACCACGCCTGCAACCGGTACGGCGCGGGCGGGGGCCTTGGCGCGATGCGCGAGGACAGCGAGGCCTACCGCCGGCGCGACATGGCCAAGAGCTCGGTCGACCGCTACACGCACTACTACGAGCGGTGGGCGACGAACGAGACCTCGAGGGCCAAGGCGCAGGCCGACCTGCGCCAGATGGAGGCCGTGCACCTGGCGCGGCTGAGCGACGTGCAGTCGCAGCCCGTGTCGCAGCTCAAGTTCGTCGCGGGGGCCTGGCGCCAGATCGTCGAGTGCCGGCGCGTCCTCAAGTGGACCTACGCCTACGGCTTCTACCTGCCGGACGCCGAGCGCGCCAAGCGCCAGTTCTTCGAGTACCTGCAGGCCGAGGCCGAGGCCGCGCTCGAGCGCCTGCACCGCTGCGCCGCGACGGACCTGCTCGTCTTCCTCGACCTCGACGACCCCGCGCTCTTCAACGACTTCCGCATCCGCCTCCAGGGCCTGACGCACGTGACCCGCAGCTACTTCGAGAATCTCGTCAAGGCCCTGGAGTCCGGCCTGACGGACGTCGTCCCGGCGCGCCTTCCGGACGCCGCCGCGGTCGCGGTCGCGGACGACGACGACGAGGGCGTGAGCATTTAGAGCGATTGCGATGGTGGTGTCAAGAGAGAATTCCCCTTTTGGAGCCCGCGACGAAGCTCGTGCTCTGCTCTGCTCTTCTAGGGCGATGGCGATGGCGAGCTCGGCTTGCGGTGCTGGGGTCGGAGGCGAGGATAGTTCATGTACATACAGACCCGATCTTGTACAAAATAGAAATCCGGGCTTTGAACTCTGCAGACGATCCGTTCGTGAGGTCGGCTGTCTGCGCCTCGTCATTCCGATGAGTGGACATTTATGAGAAGATACGGCGGAATTTTCACCGTCGAGCGATCCGAAATCTGCGGGCTCTGCTCGCTTCTTTCTCTTCGTGGCATCAGCCGCCGCTCTGGCTGGCCCGGTCGTGCATCAATCCTCCATGTCTCTATTCGGACGTTGTTTATTGTCGATCTTGTCATTCCTATGGATCTGCCTTTCCCTCCATCTTGCGAGCTTTCTGCGTCAGTCCATCGAGCCATCCTCGAGTTGATACTCTTAGAGTTTCTTCTATGGATCTGCCTTTCCCTCCATCTTGCGAGCTTTCTGCGTCAGTACATCGACCCATCCTCGAGTTGATACTCTTAGAATTTCTTCAATGAATCTCTCGGGGCACAGAGGTTTAATGTCCATGTCAAGAATGTAAGTCTGGGGACGACCTTATTCACCTGAAGCCCGCAAGCCCTTCAGCCAATCGGGGTATGGTGTCTCGATATTGTTAACATTCTATTGGAGCAAAATATCAGACGCTTGGATCAACAAAGAAACTAAGGGTTTTAGTTTTCTTCACGCAGATAATTGTTTTCTCATGGGTCGTGATAGAAGTCAAAATTGGCTCCTAGAAAAGTTTTGCTTACTTAGTTTGGCCTCAAGACTCGGGGACCGGACGGAGTGCAGAGGTACAACAACCGCGTCGTTCTCAGGACTCCACCTCGTCCACTCTAACCATTGGCACTTAATAACTCGCACTCTAATAACTCGCTGATTGATCTCCCACCGTTTTGTTCCACAAACTCATGTTTACATGTCCTCAACTTGGACACGAGAATCATGTTAAAATACAATGCAAAACATCCAGTGCTAGATTTCACGGGTTCAGGGAGGCGGTCTCGGGACCGTGGTGTTGGTTGTAAAGAAGAAATGTTACGTGGAGAATGATGAGGGAAACCTCCTTCTCAAGAATCGGACTCCAGTAATGACTCGTTCTTGACGGAAGCAAGCGTAAGCAGAAGCACTGGTGGGATCTCTTTTTATTCTTGTACCAATGGCTCGCTTGCTCGCTCTATCGCTGCACCAATTTTCGTGATTTGAAAGTGGAGCGCGAGCGCGTAGTGTAAAACGCAGTTTCATGCCCTTCTCGAGCTTTGGTCGTCGTACTTTGGGAAACTTGTCCTCAAGTTTGACCAGAATGGTTTCAGATGTTATAGAACAGCTTAAGGAGTTATGGTTATCATAGTTGCATCAGGGCGATTAGTTTAAACTCTATTAGCATCTGGTGAAGGTAATTGAGATCTCATTGGCATTAAAGCTGCCCCGAAAAGTTGCAGTCCTCTGTCCTCTTCCCCAGCGGCAGTCTGCACTCACATAAAGGTGCTGCTGAATAATGTGCCGCAGTTTGTGGAAGGACAAGCTCCCGTTCCTCCATCGTTGGTCGGTGAGAGAACCACATTCACAAGGGAGCAGTATTGGCAACGCAGGGTGAATGCGGATCTGCCAAAATCACACTATTCTATTGGTGAGACACGCTTCGGGCTCGCATGCAGGAAAGTACACTGGCTCTTAAACTATCGACTATGGCGGAAGGGCACGAGCGAAATATTGGACTTATTGAATGTCTGTATTAGCATTTCCTTCCATTGATCGGCAGCGAAGGTTTCTGTCATGAAGTCTGAAAGGGGCTGAACGAGAGGTCGAGAAGGGCCGCGCCGTTAGTACGTGATGGGCTCTCTGCATCTTTCCGGTACACGGCGCGGTCAAATGTTCTGAGGAAATTGGGTAAGCTGTTGCGATTGCCACATCTGCACGATCATATCTGGGGATTGGAAGGAGCCCGCACGAGGTCCGGTGGAGAAAGGAAGGAGCGGAAAGGTTGGATACGAGCAAGCGAGGCAGGAGCGTTTATTTCATGACTTGGCGTGCTCTTCTGCCACTCTTCAAAGGGACCTTCTTGAGCTGAGCTTGCCCGTCCAATTCGACAACTTTGCATCGAACGGGGTCTCGGAAATTTCGTCACATTAAATTCCACACTCATCTTGCGTAATTAGTGATTCCAGCAGCAGATTCAGACATGGTTAGCCAAACGGTAAAGGCCGTAGCCTTGGGGCAGGTTCTGTCGTTGCTCGTCACCGGGACCTCGTTTTCTTCGTCGCAGCTTGCACGCTATGGTAGGCTGATATTATCTTCCTTCGTTCTCTGAATTGGTCGGAATATTCTGTAAGAGACACGACTTTGATGCAATTTGTGCGTCTTCATTTACGTTCTGGAGATACTGGAAACAAAATTATAGGGTTTGATGGAAGGGAGGTGGACACTTGTGACAGGTATCAATGCTCCGATGACCCAGGTCTTCTTCAACTATTTACTCATGTCTGGAGTCTACGGATCCTACCTCTTGTATTTGCGAAAGCCCTTGAAGGTGAGTCACTACTGAAAGATAGAATGATAGCCACATGAAATAGGACTTTATATGAGACATTTCGATGATTTATCGGATGTCCATCGAAAGAGTTTTCCCACCAGGATTTTCATAAAAAAAATGAAATTTCAATGGCAGAACGAAACAAAATCACAAGATAGAGTGTTCAGTTCAGATTATGCCCAAGTGCTTTGCAGATTGAAACTACCGCGGAACAAGCTCTTGCCAGCTTTTGAAATTGCTCCTGTCGATATTCCTGCTTTAGATCAGACCTGTTCTAAACTACACCAATTAGAACTACGGAAAGCTCATCAATGGATTCTTAGGAGGCCGAGGTGCTTCTTGTTTCAAATGTTGGAAGAAAATGTTGCCCTGGTGATAGATTTCCTGAATTGCTGTGCAGTTTCGCTGGTACCTGTATCTGCTGTTCGCAGTTATCGATGTCCAAGCCAACTACCTCGGTAATATTCTGCTTGTTGAGTCCAAACCTGAACCTTCATAGCTCCTTTGCAGAACATGTATTTGTCAGTATAGCACAAAGTTCGTCTTCCTAAGAAGCGTTTCTCTTCAAATATGCATTGCAGCAACTATGGCATACCAGTATACGTCCATCACAAGCGCTATGTTGTTGGACTGTTGGACTGTCCCGCTGGTTCTAGCGCTCACCTGGCTATTTCTGAAAACTCAATACCTTCGGGGCCACTTTGTCGGGGTGTGCATATGTGTGCTGGGTCTGGTTCTCGTCGTTTTCTCCGACGTCCATGCCGACGACAGAGCGTCTGGTGAGTGTGCTGTACTTTCCGAGATGCATGTTTCTCTACAATATTGTGATAGTGATGAGCTCGATTTCGTACGAGCATGCGATGATCATCTCAGTTGTATTATATTATTTGTCTGCAGGAGGAAGTAGACCTATCCTGGGTGACATTCTCATGCTCCTTGGGGCAACAGGCTATGCAATCAGCAACGTCTATGAGGTTCGGCAACTCTGAAGATGCCAAATGATATGTCAGTGAATCTTGTTTCGCATGTCAGATTGTTCAGTCATGAGTACATTTCCGTTGTTATTGTTGGGCCTCGGTACTTTTCAAAGATCAAAAGGCTAGATCCAGTATGCCTGTGGAAGACTTAACATAATGTTTTGAACTTCATTTTTTCAGGAGTTCCTGGTAAAGAAGGTTGACCGACTGGAGCTTTTAGCGATGATGGGCGGGTTTGGAGCTATCACTAGCTTTGTGCAAGTGTATCCTCACAAAGCCGACCTTTGAAGAAGAAATTTCTTTTCAAAGGAACTTGTGATCAATCCCGGGACTGGGTTCAAAAATTACGTAAGAATTTTGGGATTTGTCCATCTGTTTATTATAAGGAAATTGGTATTCTTAACTTGAACCTTTTCAGCGTTCTAATCGAACGGGAAGTTTTGCTGTCGACTCAATGGACTGTGAATGCTGTAAGCGACTACCCAACTTCAAGCTCATCGCTTCATAGCACATCGCTTCAGTCTCTTTTCAGACCCTACTCCATGAGGGCAGTAACTGCAATTTCACTTCTCTAAACAGAGTGCCTTGGAAAAGGCTGAGCTTCTACATCTAACTCTGGCGCACTGGCTGGCATGGATCAGGTTCTACCATTCATATCGTACTCCGTTTGTCTCTTCTCCTTCTGCACTTTGGTTCCTGCGCTGCTGCAGGTGATACCGACCCATTGAACCTCTTATTACACGCAAGCCAAATTTGGTTCTCTTCTTAGTTGTCGGTTGCAGAAGGAATGGGTTTAGGGTTTAAGGTTTTCACTTTCAGCACGTCTGCAGAATGTCTTATCCTTCTTCCCTTGTATCAGATCAGCGGAGCGACTATGTTCAACTTGTCAATGTTGACATCTGATATGTATGCAGTTGCCATTCGATGGCTCATCTATCAGGAATCGGTACGTGCCGTAGATTTAATGGTTTCGCTTTCTTCCTCCACAGAAAATTTTTTTCCTGTAGATTCTCTACGCTAACCTCTGCGATTGACTGTGCTTCCAACGTTCAGGTGGACTGGTTGTACTTTGTGGCCTTCGCCACTGTTGCTGTGGGGCTTGCCTGGTACACAAGGAGGTACTTTTTGGACCACAAGCATCTCTCGTAATATTTTGTTTCTTCCGATATGGACTTTGTACCTGATTTATGGCCATGTTTTGTTTTGTTACAGTGGTGATGCACCTGCTATTGCACTGGAGATCGAAAAGGGCTATGAAAAGTTGGAGTCAGATCCACCTGTGGATATGAATTTACCGGAGTCGGTTGCTCCTTAAAGTGCTTGAGCATGAGTGTCTGTGGACAAAGTGATTCGGAAATACGACTCCGGAGCAGACTATTTTTGAGATGTTGATTGAGTCTGCGATGATGGTGACTGTTCCAGTGTATTAAATCCAGGCAATGGTTTAGGAAGTGCTCCAGATTCTTGACGAGATGGAAAGGCCAGGTCGTTGACTCGAGAAACCTGTGCATAATTGTCATATAGTACCATAGTGTACACAATAGGTTAACGACTCCGCAGGCCCGTAGGAATCAGATAAGATGTCAACATGTCTACATATATTCAGACGTTGTACACACCTGATGAGCTTAAAGTGGAAGGAATGTATTTGACCGACATTTATAAATTCGCAACCGATTTGGTCAACAATGTGTTATCCATGCTTGACCAGAAGCCGAGCACCAACTAACCGGATGTCATGATTTATTAGAAGAGGCGTACAACATGTGGAACCATGAACCTTTGTAAATACTTTAGTTATGTTTGTCCAGAAGCAAGCTGGAGTAATTGGTAACTCTTGATTAGAGAATGCTGAAGTAAGAACTCACGAATCAGAGCCAATACCCGGAATTCACCGAGTTTAGTTCGATCCCAAGAGAATGACGGACACAATTTGCGCTACCATGAACAATTAGTGTGATTATGCACTGTTCGATACTCTGGACCCCAACGTGAAAGGAACAGAACCACTCGTGGTGTATTGTAGAAAGTAAACATTCCCATCATTCATGCACTAAAAGAAACACAATCGAGAGTTCACGAACCGCCAATACACAAGATTGCTTACAATGGAGATCTTTCCCTTTACAGACAAGGCTGTGCAGTAGCTGAGTTCTGCAAATTCGCAGAACACTTTACATAAATCGAATGTCTCTGGCAGGGTTCGACTGCCCTAGACAGTTGAACCCTGCGGACGACAATTGGCAGCGTTCTTTCAGCACAGCAAGTACTGTTCTATCCTGATTCCATTTCTGTTTTATTTAATTGAACATTTGGGCTAAAAAGCTCCATGCCTGAAATCTACTCCTATATATTTATATAGAGAGAAAAGAGTATTATTATTAGCAGTAAAATAAATTATATATATAAATAGTTTTAATTTTATTGACTTATTTTCTTAATGTGAGCATGTGCACCTTGTGAACGTTTTGAACTCATAGGCTACGATATCTAGGCGTAGCAAAACTTCTCGGAAATCTCAACCAGTGCTCTGTACATCTTCGTATCGAAGTTAGTGTACACAGTAGACCACCTGAGAAAATTGAAGAATCAGAGAAACACTGATTCTTCGTATCTCTCAGGTTGTCCAAGGTGTCCACTAACTGCTCCAACTCATCCTCGTCTTCGCATCATCCGAATAGATGCTGCAAACACCCGTTGACAGGTGTTTCGAAGTGGTCATGCACTTTCCTTACGCTGCTCCAACGCCTTGAAAGAATGTTGGAGCTACATAATGTCTCTCTCCAGATGACATATCTCTGCATCACGAATTCGGCACAGTTTCGAATAGGAGTGATGAGCCTCTTGTTTTACCTGCATGTTCATTATATGAAAAAGCACCACGAACGTGACTACTTGTGTATCGCATCCAAACATAAACATGGGCCCAACTTGTTCAGCTCCATAACCATTGGCATTGTAATTGGCTCCTTCTGCATGAGCTGAACCACTGAGGAAAAACGCTCCAGAATCATACTTCGAGCTGGCTTGATAGCCATGATCTTCAGATGAAAAACCTTAAACACGATTATTTCTTCTATTCATTTCTACGTTGAGGTTTCTTCGAGAAATACTTGGTGTAGAGCTTGGCTCTGATGCAGTCTGTTTCTTTGTACGAGCTAGCGAACAACAATGTCACTTCTTCCGACTCTTGATCCGAATTCTCAATAACTATGACTCTTGAGACCTCGGCGACCAATAAACATGTAGTTGTCGCCATCGTGAAGCTTTATGAGGCTTGAGTATATTTCAGTAATTTAAAATTGTAACTTTTACTAATTTATAATGTAAAAAATTTGTTTTTTTTTTTAAGATATGATTCACTTTTGCAATTTTTTACATTACGTTTTTCAAGATATTTCAAATTCTAGGATCATCAGATAAGCTCATTTATGTTTCAAAAAATCCAAAGAATTTATTTAAAAAGATTTATTAAGTATTGATCAAAATTTAAAATACTCTCATTTAATGAATTACAACAGTTCATTGTAAGCATTTAAATTTTGTGATTTTGTAAGTTTTTTTCAATCTTATGCGGTTTGTAATCAATTATAAGATAAATGTTAACTTGAAAGTTTATTGTTAAACAAGTCAAAAAATGACAAATTTTTTGGTTTTATTTAATTTCATTAGAAATGTTTGTAATTTTTAAAGCATTGCGATAGTTTTGAATTAGTTTTATTGAGTTTCATGTTTGAATCCAATATGCAAGAAAGCTTTTAGGTTTGTTGGAATAAATTAGTATTTGATTAGACTTATACATTCACATGATGAATCTATGTGAATATCGTAAACGTGACATATAACATTTTCTAAGATGTCTTTGAATGAATGGGTGAGGTTTTCCACTCTAGGAAGTTATGCATGTGTATGGCAATGTTTTCTAACTATAATGGGTATGATACTTTCATGTCAATTCTTATCAATTATAACTAATTTTCAAAAATAGTTCTTCTTCCAAACATATTTTTTCACTTGTAAGATAAGAGACTTCCATTAAAAACGCATATTATAGTTTGTATGTAAGATGTCTTTATTTATTTGAATGTTATATACATCAAGAGTTTGTGTTATTTTAGTTTTTTACTTTGCAAGAGTGTGATAAAGCATATAATACATTTCTTTCTTTGATTTCTAAATACATTTATAATTCAGGTCTTGGTTAACTCAAGTTAGTTTCAACATGGATAGTTGTACTAAGTTTGCCAAAGTAACTCAAGAGTGATGGAAGATATCTCGACGTAGATTAATATTTGTAGTGAAAGAATGTGTGTTCACTGAACATAAATTCGTTGATATTAAAGATGTATCTATTTTGTAGAGAATGTCTTAAAAGTCGGAAGAGCAATCAGAAAGTTTGATGGCTGCGACAAAAGTTCTATGCCAAAGGTATCACAAATACCCTTCTACAAGACTTCCGCTGTGAACTTCAAATGAATTCAGGATTTAAAGCGTTATTTGTTTCTCCATTTCATAGTGTACTTTATTTAATCCGACCATTGACTTGGTTTTAAACAATGTAGTATATAAGGTAGGATATGAAGCAGTTATTACCCATCGTACACAAATTGTAGACTGAAAGACGAAAGTCATGGAAAGGTTTAGTGTCTCTGATTTCTCCAGAGTTCGGAAGTGGCAAACATTATTGAGAGTTGATCGATATTATCGTTTCATGACGTATCGAACTCTGTGGTGTTGCCTCTTGTCTACGAAGATGAAGATGGCTGACATGTAAAGCTTAGTGACAGCATTTGACGAGTGACGAGATTGAGCCTTCATACTACGTCTTCTGATTGATTAGATTCTATTAGACATAAATGGGATTACATCGAAGGACAACTCTTACATCTCGTTGTACATGTTGAATGCGATCCGATGAGTTGAAAATAAGTTAAGTAGCTCACGTATGGAGTTGTTGCTAGAAGATCCTTACAACTGAAGCTAGACTGTACTATCCCGTTAGACAACCGTAGTGTCTTTGATCCTTGCACCAAAATGTATGTAGACTAATTCACAAAATTCTTGTTATGGGAGAGGGGACACATGATGCTGCAAGATATGAAGGCACATTAATTCAGGAGATGAGTGCAGAACAATTCTCCAGGTGGGCTTTTGCTAAGTCTTTGAGCTTTGCACAAACGGCATGCAGATTTTTGGTCGAAGATCCATTTGGCCCTTTGGCAGCCTCTGCTTTCAGTTTCATCTCAGACACTCTCCTTCTCAGTGCAGAGCCTTCTTTAGTGTGGAACAGGGTGTGGATGCTGGCCTCAATCTGCTTCCTATCCACATACCCCCCACCCTGCAACAAGCCCGGACAAATTTCCAAGGCAATCTGTGCTTCCTCCACCAGAAATCTGCACATTTCAAAGTACAGCATTGTCAGATAACAGAAGGCAATGGGGCAAGGACGGAAATGATATCCGAGAATCAGAAGAGTTTTTTTAATTGTTACTTACCTGAACTTCGGTGGAACTTCAAGTACGAGTTTTAGAATGACCTTTACCTGCAATTCATGGACTGATCGTAGAGGCAAGGCCATGCTAGGATAGGCACTCCACTGGCCAAGGCCTCCAGAACTGAATTCTGCCCACAGTGCGATATAAAAGCTCCGGTTGATGGATGAGACAGGACTTCCATCTGAGGTGCAAAGCTCTGCACGAACAGACCTCTGCCTTTGGTTCGAGCCAGACAGTCTTCAGGTATGACCGAAAAGATGTCATCGGCTCGGACGCCGGACTCTCGTTTTGGAAGGTGCAGAACGCATATGAATGGTTGCTGACTATTTTCAAGTCCATAAGCTATCTCCTGGATCTGTTGCACGGTGTGGTTGACATCGCTTCCAAATGCAAGAAATATAACCGACGATGCAGGTTGGGAATCGAGAAAAGTTATGCTTGGGTGTACTTCGTCAGCTGCTCCGGATTTGACTGCTTCTAGTCCATTCTTTCTCGACGGAAAAGGAAATATGGGTCCGACATGATAGACTTCGGGTGCCTGTAATAACAGATAAGAACTTAATTTAGAACGGAGGTTAAAACCAGGGTCCACAAATTTGCATTTTGCTTCATGTTTTCGCACAGATCAATTTCACAAACTGTATGCAGCTAAGACACCCTGTCCTGATTCCATGTACAAATCTGTGCACAGAATCCCATCATTTACTGCTCTGCACGTTGATGAGAGTGATAAGCAAAACCTTTCTGCCGTTTATCAGGGCGTAAGCCTTCAGAATCCTGTTTAGTTCTTGGGTCTGTCTAGGTTCCAGCTCCAAAAATCCGCTCAGAAGCACAACATCACATTGTTCCATAGTTGATGCGTTGCGGATGGAATAAGAATACAAGGGATCATCTTTGAATAAAGGTTCACCCAGGTCATGGAGTCTCATAATTGGGAAACCTGGTAAGCTGATAAACGCCTGCTCACATCTTTTGTCTTTGAAGGTGTCAGGAAGTTTGAACATTCCATTTGATTCGAGGTGTCTAATGTACACCCATGTAGCTAGATATGCTGCTGAGAATGGAGAAAATGTCCACGCAGGAACGTCATGCTTTATAGCCGCCTCCTGCAAGCTCCCCACACGTTCACTTTCATCAATTCAGATTGCATTGTCTCACTGGATAGTGTGTGTCTCAAGTCCTGTTCTTGACTCAAGCTGTGCTCAATTAAGCAGCTAGACTCCCTTTTGCTAAATTTATTGCAAAATCTGGTGCTCGGAAAGAATATCCTCTGAATGCACTCACCCTTGCTCCTGGCATCCAGAAATCTGCTATCACACAAGTAGGCCTCGAATCAGTTTGCGCCTCCTTCTTCAGGGTCTCTTTGAATGCTTCTTCAAAGCGGTGAAAGAGAGTGACAAATCGTTCAGATCCACCAGCACCAGCAGCTAATGATGATGGTCCTGCGTCCAGGATTCGCGGCTGAATGTCCAGACCCTGTAATACCCAGTTTTCCATCAAATTTTTCCGAGCAGTTTTCAAACGTCGAAGATCATCTTCAGAAACAAAGAGTGATACACTGATGCCACCACTCGCCAACTGCCTGGCGAGATTTGTCATGGACATGACGTGACTGATGAAAGGGAGAGCCACCAGCCACACTCTTGGTGCTGGTGTCGAAGAAGCTCCCGTGTGACCATTGCAGATCGGAGTCTCCTGCTGGATTACGAGCTGTTCCATGATCCGTAAATTTCTCAGTCCCTGCAGGCTTTGAGCATTGTTCGGAAGGAAAGACCATTAAATACTTCAGCCTGCATTGTTGCGGATCGTGCCCTTAGCCTTGATAAAGGATTGAAGAGATAGAAGGTTCATTGCTCAAAAGCCTGCACTCAACACGTACTACAGTAAAAAACGCCTCTCCTGCAGATTCTGTCCTAGTTCGTCTACAGACTCGTACTTGCAGATTGCGTCGAATATACCTGACGTACTTCCCTCTTCTTCATAAGTCAGAGTGATCAGTGATGCAGGTGTAAAACAATAGCACAAATCAAATGGTCAGATTTGCTCGGTTCAAGTCTGGAACCATCCAGCGTTAGCCCTCCACTAAAGCTGCTTTATGTGAATCGACGCACAGAAGTCAATCAATAAGTGATGCTTAAAGGTCTGGGTTCTGACATATGAAATTTATCCAAAGGCATGATTGATTGGTACACTGCTTGCACCAGAAGTACGGAGCAGCAAACGGTGAGAGAGGATTTTGGTGATCATCAGATATCATAAGGCAATAAGATCACCGCATACCATAATACAAAATATGGCTCACTACGATGTTCCAATTAATCTTGTAGAACTGAATGCAAATCACCTAAATATCTCAATAAAGTAAACGTTAATCACTGATATATAATTATATTTTAAACTAGTTAAAAAACGTTGTAATATCTCTATGATTTGAGCGGGTTGAACTTATGCTAAGAATAAAACCTCAGTTATCTTTCAGTTTCACTAATTTGCAAGTTGAACATTCATGAGAGTCCTTCTAATAGGACGAGGAAAGATTGGTATTGTTGTATTGCATATGCCAGAGACCGTGATTTGTGCTCACACATTTAGCTTCCTTCACCTTCAACAGCAATATTCAGTGGAGAGGCAAGACAACGCTCAAGGTGTCATTCTGCCTATGAAATGCAAAATGCTATCCACACTACGATACTCATCACCGCTTACTTATGATCAGGACAACCTATCTTCTTCACAACAGTTTAGCAGTTGAAAATATGTCCAACAAAGGGATATACTCTCGCTAGATTCGCACTCTTCTCTTGGACACATTGAAGCCTTTCGACATTGTTCTGGCTTTAGATCTTGCAAAGATGCGGCCTGCATTTAAACTCACTGACTTTACGTGTCTACAATCTGAAGCTTCAGAATGTGGATTCAGGAGTACTGCAATCCTATTCGATAAAGAATGTATTTACCATGGTCTGATCAGCTTGTGAGCTGACTGTGATCCGAGCTCAGCCAGGACAAAGCCTAGCATACCGAGAAGACTCATAGCCCTTGGGACTAGGGCTATATCCGAAGGGCAAGACCAACAACTGAACGTCTCGAGGCCCTTACAGACCACAAGAAGACGCCAGAAGAACATCCTCAAGGCGATCAAATAAAAATATACACAGAAAGAACCAAAAGAAACGAAAGCAAATGACAAAAGGAAATATTGCTATTTCATCAAAATCAAACCGGAAAGAACATGCTCAAAGTCAGAAGTAATCTGAGAGTGCAGAATAGTCTCTCCATAAAGCAAAACTTCTGCTAACATAAATAACAGACACACAAACACACACTTACACTTACTTTATGAGAGCAATTTATGCAACAACTTCGTCTAGACTTTATCTTCCTTTTGAAATAAAGTTTGGAAAAATCAGATATCCCTTGCTGATAATTTCTGGACCTTCCAACTTATGTACCTTCATGTATTTCGTAATCCAGCTTATTGACGTGGTTGGGTCCACTAAGAAGAGAAAAAAATTGTGCGAAATAGTATGTCCTCGGCCCCATTTACCTCGTGGAAATTCGTCACTCATATTCCCTTCTTCGAATTCTCGTGTTTCTGAACTCTACGCGGATTTTCTTATTCGCGGTAGAACTGTACGTCTCACAAGTCCACCTCTGAACCACCAAACAGGTCTAACAGTCTGTACTTTGCATGCACTTAGAGGCACAGAAGCTTCTGTACCGCTTCTGTCCCAGCTGCAGCACCAACCACAACCTTCCATCAGATCCCGCTGTAGATTTTCTCAAGTTATCGATCAGAACTGAAAGCTAATCCGTCTTCAGTCAAACAATGTAAGTCTTCGTAATCTGCGCTGTTCATGTGAGCAGCTGTGGATCTCTCTGCTTGAGAGCTCGACGCCACTTGTTTAGTGCATTTTTTTCTACCGAAGTGAAAGAGGCAGCAGCTGATCAAAGAATGCTTCTGACTAGTAGATAAACGATTCAGTGCCGAGTTACGAGAAAGTTCCTTCTTCATCATTGGGCAATGGAATCAGGGAAAGGAAATGAGTATCTCAATTTGTTCGGTGGCATTATCTTGAAGCATGGTGGTGGCTTGAAAGTACTCTTCTCGAGAGGCACAGTCAGTGGTTGCTATGAACAACGTCTTACCTTGGGCTACAAGGCAAGACGTTTGTGCAGACTGGTTAGCCAGTGGTTGCTATGAACATCGTCTTGCCTTAGGCTCCAAGGCAAGACGTTTGTGCACAGACTGATTGGTGCTGCTGTACACTGACACTTCGGTGTGTATTTTTCCGAGAGATTTGGGACAGATGGAGTGAGATTGAGAACATTATTACATCAAATACAATATGAAGAAGTATGGTGTTGAGTCATATAATTGCATCATGTATAATTATAGATGTGACATAAGATTAGACACTGAAAGAAAGAAATAAAAAAATTTATGGAATTGATCTATTTTATTTTTTCTAGCTAGATGATATCTATAACATTATTATATTTTTTAAGTTAAATTTGTAGTTAGATTCGAATCCAGACATATATACAAGATCAAATCTTTTACACCTTATTTTAGTTTAGCCCACAAGTCATCCAAGACAGCCTTATACTTAATATCAACGTATCTTCTAATTGTTGCAAAGATGAGGGCTGTTGAATTTAAATGTGGTGTGGTTTCAGATTAATCTCTTATCCAGATATACAATGACAAGCATTCATAGCAGAGTAAATATGGATTAGATTTGATTGCTATTGGGGAGATAAAATATATGGAAAATTAACATAGTGAAACGAAATAGTATAATTGTCAGAACATTTTACTTGTGCTTTTCATTCAAATTTTCATAATAAAATTTTTTTTAATTCAAATATATGTTCATTCTTTTTTTAATTATATGAGGAAGAATCTTATACCTAAAATCTAATACTTTCAATACTAGAAGTTTGATAATTGACATAAAAATTGATACTTGAAACAAATTCAAATTAAAAAAAATTGACATTGAATATATTTCATCTAGACCAATGCCTTGATCTCCTATTGAAGGGAATGTTAATATTTTGTTTACATCGACATGTTTTCAATCTGAATTCTTGAACGAAATTCGGAGATCGTCGTGCCTCCAGGCTGGTTGCTTCTAGAGCTTCTAAACAAAGAACAGCAACGTCTGAGTTGACGTCCCACTCTCTCAAACCTGCAACAAGACTCTCGACTATGAATGCGACTGCACGCACTCGTTAGTAGCAACGAGTACCTTCTTGAGAATGGTGGCTGTGCTCAACTTCGCACTGCAGCATGCTTTGGAAAGGATTCCGAGCAATTGTGGTCGACTGGGTCGGAGTAACACCAGGTATGGCTTGGCTACTACATCACATTGAGCATGGCAGCGAGATTTTCCAAGGCAAGTTCGTTAGAAGTCTTCTGCACAATCCTCCAAACTCCCTTGTTCTTCACCAAGGGGATGAAAACTCTAGAAGATCCTCCTCATACGCGTCCTCTCGGGTCTTTGAAGTGTGATGCGAGGAGATGAGTCGAATCAATACAGGATTCATACTCACTTCAGCCATTGTCTCCTTACGAATGAAGTCGAAGGAGGAAGACGTATAATAGCGAAAGGGAGTAGGACTTGGCCATCTGATTAAGGAACCTCAACCTCCGTATTCGATCGTTACCAGCGGTATTGTCAATGTCTTCAACCATTTGCCGCAAGTAGCTAAGGAGGTTATGCTTGTTCTCCATCTAGATTTTTCTCTCCGCAGATGCAATGTTAGGAAGTTCCATCTGACCTGAGATTTTGCAGGCAGGGTATAGGATCTACACCAGTTCTGTCAATTCCGCCTGGAAGGGCAATAGGAAATGAGGTCTGTTGATTTCAGAACTTGTAATGATCAATAGCAAGTTTTGTTTCCTGTTTGTTGCCAGCGTTCTATGCTGGATGTGTGATCATGAGATCATGAACTCCCTCAGACTACTGGCAAGCTATTTGTACATATTCGTTTTCCCCCAACAACAGATTCTTGTGTTTCAGAAACTTTGGATGGTTTTACGGTAATCCTGTCAAAGCAAAAGCATTACTTCAAATTCAGAAGGAAAAGTTGTGCCGTGCTACAATGGAAGGAGGACATGTAACAAAATACCACTAACACTGAAAATAGGTAATGACACTGTTCTCAGTATAGAACAATGTTGGCTCTTCCAAACTGACGAGAGTAAGAGCACTGATAAATTCTCAATTCCAGATCGAAGCACATATGAAAAGTGTGACGATTTCACGTTACCAAAGTGATGTCATCATCACAAAATTGGAGGCTGGAACTGTTGAGCATTGCCACAATGACATTCACACAAGTAACGGCGGAGAACTTGAAACCGCCAGCCATGCACATGTACATTGCACAGAATGCTGGAATCGTTGAAGATGACATCCGAAAGAGCCTCGAAATTGTTCAGAGCTGAGACTCCGCAACGAACCGATCAGCTTCATGCGACTGGTAGGGGGAGAAGGAAGAGTAGGGATCACTGAGAAGCGATTGGCGCCAGTGCTTCCGATTCCTCCAGAGCGGGGTTTGTATGGAACAGGAATTCGGCAACGACAGCTTTCGCGCCTGACATGGGGCAAAAGCCACAGATATCGGTTTGCCCTCATAACGAATCCATGGCAGGCAATGCTTCCCACACCTTGTGACTGGGAGATTGACCAAAAGAAAAGATTCAGCATCTCCGCAGTCGCGCCAGATAGGGGTCGAACCTATGACTTTCTGCTTAGGAAACAGACGCTCTATCCACTGAGCTACAGGCGCTTGTTGTACTAGAGAGCTCTGTACAAGAAATAAATCAACAAATTATTATCAGAAGTATCGCGATTTAGATTTTTACGAGAGCAT